TTTTCAGGAGCTTCAGTTTGTCAGTAGACGAGTAAATATTTATTGATAAATATTGTTTGTACCTCATTCTGTTCTGTCTACTTATTCTTAGAGCGACAGGTGGAGCAGACTGGTTTAAAGGGTGGAGGATTGTAGTGGGAGCACTGGGGTGTCAGGTGTGACTGTGTGGCAATCGCAAATGGTTTACATGGTTCATGGGTCAGGTAGGAGGACCCCTTTGCAGAGTTTTCCTCTGGGCCCCAGGGAGGTCAGGACCAGCTCTGTCTAGAACATCCTGATAAACGGACTCAGCAGATAAGCAGGTTGGTGGATCTGCAGTTATGGTTAATGTTTTTAACCTCTTGGTGACAGAGGCCATGGTGGGGGGTTATATAACGGAGCGCTCTGAGCGCATTAGATGGTGGTGTGATGCTCCAGCCCTTCACTGTGGCACAGCGTGTGCACTCGAAAGTGTCACCTCAGCAAATCTACAATCTTCAGGCCTGGCATCACCACACAGCTAATCACCGACGTGCCCACACAGACACTCGGCTCTGCCGCAGGTAATCCGTGATACGCTGCACTCTGCCTGACCCACTGATTCTCCCTTTATCTCTCTCAACTTCTTCCACTCGTCCAGTTCACTCGCCGAACGCTTCCGTCCTCAGCGCTTCACACCTTTACGCTCCGGATTAGCAGAAATGTAGCCTCTCATTCCTTCTTAAAGGGCTCGTATCATGGAAAACTGAGTTTGAATTCATGTTACTTCAGTCAAACAGTTTGATGTGGTGTAAACACTGTTAAAGTCTCAAAACATACCGGTCGATACAGTCCATGTGTCAGCTCATACTGAATGTGTTGTTTTTGTGATGTCACATAAACCAACACATTTACATACATCCGGCTATTCATCCTACAGCGGGAATGGGCGGGGCTAAACTGTATGTAAATGTAAAGGTGTGAATCAGAGAATCAGAACAGAGCTCATTAGCATATATCATTCTTAAAGGCACAGCAACAAAAACGGCCTGATAAACTCTAGAGGACGAAAAGAGGTCATGTAAAAATAAATTCTGTTTTTGGTGCATAAAAACTACAGAAAAATCTCATTAGGAAAAATATAATATAAGAAAAAATGTCTGGGCTGTTTAAGTTGTTATTTAAGAGGCCAGTAAATAGTTAAAACAAAAACAATACAAAATGTAATTTAATATATTAGGTTTTATACGTATAAGCCCAGTTAAAAAAACAGAAAGCAGTGAGTAGTAAATTCTGTTTGACGTGTTTCACAGTTAAAAAGATACAAAAACGCTGTGGCATTTATTTTTAATGGTCCTTTTAGATGAAACAAACACTCTCAGTAACATCTCAAAAACATATGAGGGTTAGGATATGGGTTGAGGTCAAGATTAGGGTTAGGGTTAGGGTCAGGGTGAGGGTTAGGATTATTTTTTGAACATTTCACGGTTCTAGTCTTAAGTTGCTCCTGTCTCAACCTTTTTGGTACATGCTGTCAGCATCAATTTCACAATGAACGTATGTTTACAAAAACAGTGAAGCTGATGAGATTGCATGTCTTTGTTCTGTTTTTGTTCAAATACAGGTCAAAGCAGATTTACCTAAGAATCACTACAGAAGCAAACTAGAAAACAGAACTGAAAAACTGAACCTTAATAACGCTCCAGAATGTCTGTGTCTTTTTTAAAAGCTAATATATTTTTGTATTTCCTGTTGTTGAGGCCTCTGTTACCCAGAGGATCTCTAACACACACCTGACTGGTTTCCTGTCCTGAAATATGACTATTAGTGATGTATTTGTACTTAATTAATACTCAATATTTCAGCTCAGTTCAGTCATTCTGAAAACAGATCAGCTCAATATTTAAAATGTGACTGAGTATATGAAGTATAACTGATTATATATGGTATAACTGATTATGTACATTATAACTGATTATATGTCATCTAACTGCTTATTTATACAGTATAACATACATTATAACTGATTATATACAGTATACCTGATTATATATAGTGTCACTGATTATGTATATAGTATACCTGATTATATATAGTATAATTGATTATGTACAGGGTAACTGATTATATACAGTGTTACTCTGTATACACAATAAAACTAATTATATACAGTATAGTCGATTATACAGTGTAACTGATGATATATGGTGTAACTAATTATATACAGTATACCTGATTAAATTTAAAGTGTAACTGATTATATACACTGTGTAACTTAGTATATACAGTATAGCTGATTATATACAGTGTACCTGATTATATACAGTGTAACTGATTATATACAGTGTAATTATGTATACCGTGTAACTTAATATATACAGTATAGCTGATTATATACAGTATTCCTGATTATATATAGTGTAACTGATTATATGTACTATATACCTGATTATATACAGTGTAACTGATTATATGTACTATATACCTGATTATATACAGTATAACTGATTATATACAGTGTCACTGGTTGTATATACAGTATAACTAATTATATACAGTATACCTGATTATATACAGTATAATTGATTATATACAGTGTAATTATGATGTAACTTAATATATACAGTATAGCTGATTATATACAGTATACCTAATTATATATAGTGTAACTGATTATGTATACACTATACCTCAGTATATACAGTATAATGATTATATAGTGTTACTGATTATATGCAATTTACCTGATTATACATACACAGTATAACAGTATATACAGTATAGCTGATCATGTATATACAGTGTAACTGATTATTTGTAGTATGACTGATTAAACTGAGGTGGCTGCTCTGCGGTCAGTCAGTGTAGCAGTGTGTGTTATTGTGCAGGGTGGCCGTTGTTTCCAGTGCAGAAACTTGTCTGTTTTGAGCGTAAACAGCGCTGTAAGCGGGTCGGGGGAAGTGCTGCACCGCTGCTGATCGGACCGGTTTATTTTAGTAGATTCAACACAGCAGGTTCTGGAAATGTATCTATTTACACACAACATACCTGTTTAACTAAAACTGTAATTATCCTCACAGCACACACACACACAAACACACACACACACACACACACACACACACACACAAACACACACACACACACACACACACACAGACAAACACACACACACACAACACACACACACACACACACACACACACAGACAAACACACACACACACACACACACACACACAAACACACACACACACACATACATACAACTAGAGAGAGTACTAATAGTGCAGAATTAGGCCTTTTAAAGCACATTATTCAAAATAAAAATATGGGCAGGTTAATTGTGTGTATTAATACTATAAATTTGTCCCAAATAACGGTTAGTTTTTAAATAAATTATTTAAACATTTTTAATTGAAACAAAATGTTTTCTTGTTGCTAAATTGCATAATTTTGAGAAATACTTATTTATTTATTTATTTATTTATTTATTTATTTTAAGTGGGGTACTTTGCTTCTTTGTTGCCATATGGCAACAGCTTGTGTCACATTAGTACATTCATCATCCAACCATACAAAAACATGCATAACCACCATATATGCATTAATATTTTAAGAATATAGAAAGACATATGAAGATAAATATGTTGATAAAATTTGCAGTGTATACATTTACTCTAATTTCAGATCGCATTTCCACATGGCAACAACTGCATTAACTACATTTTATTGTGTTGTATCAAACTTATAGCAGCTAAACTGGTTTAATTTATGAAAAAGAGATGTTAAATTCCCACAGTGTTTCTGTTCTTATTGAACTATGAATATTAATGTTTATAAATATTGAACTATACACAGTTTGAGAACATCGTGTGATAGTGTGGGAAAAAGCAGTACAAACTGCAACAAGAAGGCCTTTGATCAGATGAAAGTCCATCATATTCCACATGAAGCCTTCAGTATCCCAAAGGATAAGAAACAACCAGGACTTTTATTTTGTAATCAGGCCAAACATTATAAGGAGTAATTGTTGCTTTATGGCAACACCATGCAGTAAAGCAGGGCTGCATATGAGGGTGTTTGATTTGGCCTGTACCCTCATGAACCAATCAGAGAACAAACATATTTTACTACATACTATACTATTGTATATATTATATATACTATTCTATACTATACTATACTATTCTATGCTATACTATGCTATACTATGCTATACTATACTATACTATTCTATACTATACTATACTATTCTATGCTATACTATACTATTCTATACTATACTATACTATACTATTCTATGCTATACTATACTATACTGTACTATACTATTCTATGCTATACTATACTATTCTATACTATACTATACTATACTATGCTATACTATACTATACTATACTATACTATTCTATGCTATACTATACTATACTGTACTATACTATTCTATTCTATACTATACTATACTATACTATTCTATGCTATACTATACTATACTATACTGTACTATACTATTCTATGCTATACTATACTATTCTATACTATACTATACTATACTATGCTATACTATACTATACTATACTATTCTATGCTATACTATACTATACTGTACTATACTATTCTATACTATACTATACTTAATACTGATTTACATTTTAAAGTGATGTTTTTGAGTATTTCAGTAGCAAAAAAGTAGTGTAATGTTATAAAATACATTCATAAAAACTAAATTTAAAACCTGCCTTCCTTCTTTGTTTGTATACTGTTTTGTCTATTTGATGCACCACAAGCTTTACACTTTGGCCCCCTGTGATTAAAAGTTTGCGCACCCCTGCAGTAAAAGGATGCAGGATGTTCCTGTTTTATGAGGAGATCAGTGATGAAGTGACTGAGCCGAGTCTCACCGTGGGAGGATTTGGTCCAGCAGGAGAAGGTTTCACCCACCTGTGTGAGGATTAGAGCTCCAGACTCCGCCTCCCTCAGAGTTCAGTGGTTAAATAGCCCTGAGGCTCCAGCGGGCCGGCTTTAGTGTGTCAGCACTCCTCTCTGTCTCTCTGTCTCTCTCTCTCCTTTCTCTCCTGTCTTCGTTCTCCTCTCACCTCCGAGCTCTCTTCGTGGAATCTGGATGATGGAGCTGAAGGAGTTTTGCTTGAGTGACGACTTTCACTTCCTGAACCAGCAAAACAGGTACGACACTGAGACACTTACAGTGATTAATAATAACGGTCATAGATTTGTCGATTTAGACCATTTAGTGCTGTCAGTGAGTGAGAAAGGGTCACTGTACACTGTATCAGTAATTTATCAATCAATAAGAAAGAATGACACATATGTGTGCCATATGCAGTCATGTGCAAAAGTTTGTGCGCCCCCAAAAGGTTGATTTTCTAAAGGAAAACACATAAATGTGGCATTTCTCTGCAAAATTTAATTTTATTTCAGGTTCTATTTATTTGCTGGGTTTAACATATTGGGACAAAACATAAAATATAAACTGTGCCATAACTTTTGCACATTAATTTGTTTTATTTTTCTCCCCAATATGTTAAATTCAGCAAATAAACAGTCATTGTGTATTAAAATGTGCAGAAGTGTGTCTCTGTAGAGGATGTGTAACTTATTAACACTCAACAACAACATTGAGCAGAGGAGCACAATATACGACTGTACATCTTATTCAGCTATAACCACCGTTATGTAATGTGGAATGTAAAGTAAATAATTAAATAAATTCATAAATAATTCTGTTATGCATCTGCCAAATCTAATGATTATGGAAAAGTTATTTGCAAATTACCACCAGAACTAAAAGATTACATTTAATTAAAAAGTTTCTTTAAGTTACAATAAATACTATGCATTTAATATCAACCAAAAGTGTTTGATTTTGTAAATGTTGATTTTAAACTTGCATTGGAACTGAAAACAATACACTCAAATTAGAAAATCCCTCTAAATTATTAATGTTTGTAGGTTGCAGTATAGTTCAAAATAATAAAGAGGCAATCTACGTTTATGTTATTGTGCATTTGAATGTCCACCAATTTACTCTGTTTCATGATTTCCTTCTTTAATGCACATCACAAAGTTCACTTAAGTTTAGGATGTTTGCATTTTTACAGATAAACATAAATAGTCTCATGCATTTAAATTTCCATTTAAAACTGCCACCAGAGTGAAAGCTGCGCACTAAAGTTTTAAAAGTTTGATTGTTTTGTTTTCAGACGACAGTAACTACAGCAGATTAGCATTGTGTTCGCTTGTGTTTCAATGTCTAATTAAGCTACAGCTAATGTTGTTTAATGCTACAAAAAAAGGAAAATGTCTGTTTGATTACATTTGATGATGCATAAAAATATACACCAATATATACACCAAACGGTTCGTGTTTTACAGTCTTATGCAAAAGTTCGTCATGTTTTGTAAGTAAGTGCACATCCGCTACAAAGAATGCACAATTGTTATGTATTTGCTGGAATCATATTAGGAAAAAATTTAAACATAAAAAATAGCAACTATGTACTATAATTAGCATAAATATGCCATATTTAAGTTAAATGTATATAGCAAACGCAAGTACGCTGTACAAAAAGTAGGGGGAAAAAAGAATTTTATATATATAATATGGCTGGGGTGCACAAACCTTTGCATAAGACTATGTCTCTATGCGGAAATAATAGTATTAAATTAGTATTAAATAGTATTAAATAGTGTTTCATGTTAGAAATTTAATAAATAATTCCGAATCATACCAAAATAAGCGAATCAACTCAGTAGTGAATCACTGAATCATGTCCTACAGAATCAGGTCAGAGATTCACTCCCGCAGTAGCTAACAGTGTTCTGCATGTGTTTGACTGACAGTCTGTTGGACCCCTCGTCCACTGATGACCCCCCATCCCCACGGGAACAGGGGGTGAAGGTGGACCCCCTCAGCCCCCCCTTCACGGCTCCATTCAGCCCCAGCAGCACATCGGACAGCAGCGCATACAGCCTGTTCTCTCAGGGTCACTCTCTGGACCCGGACTCGCCCAGCTCCAGCAGCACGGCCACCTTTAACCCCGCCCACTACGGCGCCGAGGAACACCCTGGCCTGCAGGTCGCTGCCCAAACGCACTCCGTCCTCAGCCGAGACTACATCCCCAACCTGAACCCCGGACCCAAACGCCTCTGCCTGGTCTGCGGGGACTTCGCGTCCGGCTACCACTACGGAGTCGCGTCCTGCGAAGCCTGCAAGGCGTTCTTCAAGAGGACCATCCAAGGTGACTGCACAGAAAACACAGCAACTAAAGATGGTTCTTCAAGGGTTCTTTAGTAAAGAGTGGTTCTATATAGAACCATGAACACTCAAAGAACCGTTTGCATGCATAAATGGTTCTTTGCATGGTGAAACGGTTCTTCAGACTGATGGAGAATATGTTGTATATGGTTCTGAATAGAACCTTTTTAAAAATGGTTCCTCAAAGAAACATTTGCGAAACCATTCTCTATCAATCTAACGAATGGTTTGTTAGATTGATGGAGAATGTGTTTTATATGGTTCTATATAGCACCAAAAAGGGTTCTGCTGTTGTAACAACCTTGACATCACAACTATATTAGAACCCTTTTTGGTGCTATATAGAACCATATAAAACACATTCTCCATCAATCTAACAAACCATTCGTTAGATTGATAGAGAATGGTTTCGCAAATGTTTCTTTGAGTGCTCATGGTTCTATACAGAGCCACTGTCAGGGTTCTATACAGCACCAAAAAGGTTCTGCTATTGTAACGATGTCAAGCTTGCAACAATAGCAGAACCCTTTTTGGTGCTGTATACAACCATACACAACACATTCTCCACCAATCTGAAGAACCATTTCACCATGCAGAGAACCATTTTAGCATGCAAATGGTTCTTTGAGTGTTCATGGTTCTATATAGAACCACTGTCTTTACTAAAGAACCATCTTTTTTAAGAGTGTATGTGATAAATAAGGCACTTCATCACTGCAGTGATCGGGTTTGTATTAAGCTGATTGAATCATTTTCTGCTAAAAATCTGCAGACAGTGTTTTACTGTTCAGTAACCAAGTAACATTGTTCTGAATCAGGGGTGCACAAACTTTTTGTCTTTAGTGAAAAACAGCATACAAATAGTATAGAAACAAAGAAAGCAGGTATGTTTAATACAGTTTCAGGTTTAAAATGTGTTTCAGTCTCTTAAAACACTTCAGTTAAACAGTTTTGTGTATTACGTTAAAATTAGCTCTGAATCTTTCCAGAGTAATCGAATCAACTCATGAATCACTGAATCATTTCCTAAAAGAATCATAATTGAATCAATTCTTTCACTCCCATAGTGACGAGCAGCATTTTGATTGTTTGTGTTTGATTGTCTGTTATACATATTTATGAGGGAAATAAGAACTTATACATATGCATATAACTTATATATATGTATGTAATATATGTGTATATATAATATATGCAGTATTCAAACAGGTTTGTTCTCTTAGGGGTAAATTTTCAATGAATTATCTCTTAAGAGGGGGTGAGTTTTCTGGCAGGCCAAACCAAACGTCCTCAGTGAACACTCCCGGTCAAACTCCATGATTCTCTAAGTGTGAATAAGTGAACACACCCTCTACAGAGACACACTGAGCACAGCCCAGAGCTGCTGTACGGATTTATTCCTGCTTAACTGAGGACTAGCACACCGAAAACTGAAATTTCAATAGAAGGCGGTGTGAGTGGGCTGAGACTCTGTACAAGTGTGCATTGGGGTGAATGAGGGGGGTTCAGGCTATTTGAGAAAAGCGCCGGTCCTAATTAATGAAGTGATCAATACTGTATTCAAACACTTCAGCTAACAGTGTCCTGCCAGCCTGGAGCCGAGCTGGGATTGATTTTCGTGTGAAGACTCAGTGTGTTACAGTCAAATAACTGACTCAAGTATATATGTGTGTCTATCTATGTATTTATATATATATATACACACATACATATACATACAAATACATATATTTTAGTGTTGTCGGAACACAACTTTATATCCCAAAAAGGGTAACTTTACAGAAGAAAGAAGAAACATACTCTACTTTTAATGTAAGTCTATGGAACCAGACTTTTTTCCAAGTAATTTTGGGTCGTTTCTTTTGGTTCATTCATCATGAAATTCACACACAATGTAAAGAACAACAGACACTTTCAAATTATGTCAAAAACCAAAAAAAAAAGTAGCTAAAAAGTTTTTGTGTGACAGCAAAAATAAATAAATAAATAAATTATAAATAAATTATTAAATACTATTAAATAAGTAGAATATATAATATATAAGTATATAAATAAAATATATATATATATAATAAAATTCAATTGGAATGTTAATTCCTTCTTATACCTTTAAAACATAGTTATTCAAGTAAAGACAGTGTGTATGTATGGAACTGTGACAACATATTATAGAACCGTTTAAATACAAAAATGACTCTTGGCCTGGTTAACTGGTTCTTTTAAAAAATGGTTCTATATATCACCAGGGTTCCAGTATTGTTACAAGTCATAGAACCTTTAAGAATGTACATGTAGAACCATAACAACTCACAGAACCATTTAAATGCTTGAATGGTTCTTTGCATGACGAAGAACGTTGTATATATTTCTTGAAAGAACATTTTTTTTTAATTATTTTATGTTTCTTAATATATAATATATAATATATAATATATTTTCTAATATATTTACATTTCTACCAAAAAGGGTTCGGTTATTGTTACAGGTCATAGAAACATTTGGGTATTATATAGAACCTGTTTCGACTTTTCCCCCAGTACAAAATAAACGCAAAAAAGGGTTATCTAGAACGTTACATCCAAGGCAAAACCATTTAGGACCCTCTACTCTTAAAGACTGTACCCTGGTAGAGTTACTGACGGTCGTTTATTGGAGTCTGTGTGTGATGAGCGCAGTGATGGTGTGTAAATATTGACGGGGCTCGTTTAACTGATTCTGATCAGGTTATTCTGAGGTAAAATTAACAGCTATTGGAAAACCCAACGAATAAATCTGCTCTTTGTTACCCAAAACCGAAGTGGACGCTTAGGGTGTCTATGTTGTTGGCACTGCCCGCGGGCAGATCAGGCTTATTAAAGTCTTAATACTATATGAGGAGGTTATCAATATATTGATGAAGCGCTGCAGCTGGAAAGTAAAGCCTGAATCCCAGAGATTCTCCGACTGGGACTCTTTTTATTAGAGCAGAGTTCATTGATTAAAAACCCCCCCTCCCAAAAACAACAGCCTGGACTGTGTGTGTGGGCAGTAATGGGTGATGGACACTCATCAATACTCTTTGTCTTGGAAGCTGCTGTGTTTGTTTAACGTGGCTGTGGTTATGAAGCTATGCGACGTTGTTAAATCAATACAGACACTGTCTGGCTCTCTATGGATTTCTGTGTGAAAGCTCAGCTTGTCAGACTAAAGCGCAACAATACGGTTTTAATCCAGCTTTGATTTATACGGCCTGGACAGTTTAACAGCTTTGATATGAACATTAATGTCCAAATCAATATTACAGAGACTGAACTGAACAGACTGGAGTGGTTAGTGTCTTCTGCACTTTCAGCCTAGCCTACAGTTCTGTCTGTCTGTCTGTCTGCTTGTCTATCTGTCTGTCTGTCTGTCTGTCAATCTGTCTATGTGTCTATCTCTCTGTCCTTCTGTCTCTCTGTAAGATGTGATCAAAGAAAGTTCAGATTTTTCAGAGTGTTTGTATTTATTGTTTTTGCAGTTTGTATCGATTATTTTTTGCTTATTGATTTGTATTTATTAGTCTGTGTGCTGATGTTCCAGGAAATATCGAGTACAGCTGCCCGGTGGTGAACGAGTGTGAGATCACGAAGAGACGGAGGAAAGCGTGTCAGGCCTGCCGCTTCCAGAAGTGTCTGCGGGCCGGCATGATGAGAGAGGGTGAGCTGGTCATTAGACTTTATCATTAGACCATTACAGAGTAAATCTCACAGCAGATCAGTTTGATTAAGGCTCGTTAAGAAACGATTCAGTGATTCAAACAGTTCAAATGATTCACAATTTGATTGGATTGGATTATTTTGGTACAACTCAGAATTACTTTTATCCCCTTAAATGGCCTAAACGTCAGTTACACACGTCTATAGCGTTTGCCTTGTAGCACATGTAGTTACTGCATAATAAGCTCTTGGATATAATAAACCGGGGATTTAAAACTTGTTTACATTCAAAAACAGAAAACAGACTGAGAATGTGATTATTATTATTATTATTATTATTATTATTATTATTATTACTTTTATTTCTATGCATTTTTACACACCTAGTTCACTGTGTTTAGATCATCAAATACCATTTTTAGGGCTGGTTTTCAGTTACAAGAAATCAAGCTTGTTTTAAGGAACCCAAATTTATCAGTCCAGTATTACTGTGTTAATGATGTGTGTTAATACTGTGTGTTAATGATGTGTGTTAATGTGTGCAGGTGTGCGTATGGATCGAGTGAGAGGAGGCCGGCAGAAGTATAAAAGGAGAGTGGACTCCAGCCTGTCCGTCTTTATCAAAACACCTTACATACATCCAGTCAAATCAGTCCGTAAGTGCCCTCAAACGTTTCCCAGTTAAATCCCATTTTTACTCATTAAATCACTCCTACACTCACTGGCCACTTTGTTAGAAACACCCATCTTGTACTTCCACTCACTGGCCACTTTATTAGAAACACCCACCTTTTGCTTCCACTCACTGGCCACTTTATTAGAAACACCCACCTTGTGCTTCCACTCACTGGCCACTTTATTAGAAACACCTTACAGCCCCTCTATGTAGGTGTTCTGTTTCAGACTGTAGTTAATCTGTTGCTGTACAGTTTATCAGCCTCCTCTATTCATCATTGGTCAGTTTCTGACTACAAGACCGGCGTTTTTTTTACAGAACCTTTATAATCTCTTTACTACACTCTTAAAAAGATGGTTCTTCAACAGTTCTTTGGTAAAGGCAATGATTCTACATAGAACCATGAACACTCAAAGAACCCTCTGAATCCCTAAATGGTTTTTTGCATGTGAAATGGTTCTTCTGATTGATGTTTTATATTGTTCTATATAGCACCAAAAAAGGTTCTTGCAATTGTTGACATTGTAACAATAGAAGGACCTTGTTTGGCGCCATATAGAACCTTTTTCAAAAAGGTTCTACTTAGACCCATATACAACACCTTCTCCTTTAATCTGAAGAACCATTTCTTGATGCAAAGAACGCTATGAGCATGAAAATGGTTGAAGAACCATTTTTTCAAGAGTGCATGTATTATTTGCTGCTGCCCACCGAACCTCTGTGGACGTCAGTCCTGACGTTGCATTTTTTTCATCTGGCAGTAAATATCATTACATTTATGGCATTTTTTCACATTTCATGTGTTTTTATGCACATTTTTAAAATTTGCTTAGAATAGATAGATGTGGATTCTATCTACAGTGGCAGATGAATAAAGGCTGCATCTAGCAGGGGTTCGGTGGGAGATGGTGGGAGCGACTCCAGCACTCATTAAAATGGTCCTCTGCCTGCTCCGCTCTGCCTGGCATCTCTGAACTGTTAGAGCTGCAGTCATGCACAGCTGACCGAGGCCTGTAATGCTGCTCCACTGAGAGATAACACAGGTTTAAATCCCACCACACACCGTGAGAGAGACTCTTATCTTGCAACTTGTGGCACAAATGTCCTGTTATCTTCAGGAATTTGAGCTGGAGTAGAGCAGCTGATAGAGATACAGACTTTTTTCACATCAAAATTTGTCTCAAACCCGGCCATAAACATACAAAGTGCACCTATGAGGCAGGTGTTTCTAATAAAATGGCCGATGAGAGTAAATACGAGCGTCATGATTCTTTTTAATGATCAAATTTGTATGTTTTCCAGGAAATAAGGTCATTTCCCAGCTTCTGGTGTCTGAGCCGGCTCCGCTGAGGGCGTCCCCGGACCCCTCCATCCAAGACACTGACCTCAACACCCTGCTGACCTTATGTGACCTTTTAAACAGGGAGCTCCTGGTCATGATCGGCTGGGCCAAACACATCCCAGGTATCTTACACTTCTCTAAGATCACTGCTGTCTATCACCTAAGCACTGTTTCTCAGTCCTTTCATTAACGTGAAAGTTTGGCCAACAAAATCTAATCCCCCCCCCGGACTGAACCGGCAACCTTCCGGTCACACGGCTGGTTCCCTAACCTCCAGCCCACGGCAAAAGGGAGCAGCAATTTTGGAGCATTTATATGGTCCATTCATCATGAACACGTTGTAAAAGGCATTTGGCATTTTCAAACTGTGTAAACAAAAGGAAAAATAATGTGATTGATAAAAAAAAAATTAATAAATAAAAAGAAAAATAAACTGAACCCTTTCCTAACTGACCTGTCCATCGTTCAGGGTTCTCCACGCTCTCTCTGGTGGATCAGATGGCTCTGCTGCAGAGTGGCTGGATGGAGGCTCTGCTGCTGTGTGTGGTCTGGAGGTCTCAGGGTTGTCCTCAGGAGCTGCAGTTTGCGGAGAATCTGCGGCTGAACGAAGCTCAGGCCAGAGCGGCCGGCCTGCTGGACCTTTACACGCCTCTCAGACATCTGACCACAAAATACCAACAGCTGAACCTCAGCCAGGAGGAGGCCGTCACGCTGAAGGCCATGGCCCTCGCCAACTCAGGTACACCAAACTGAACCTCTTACTTCGAGAACCATCCAATAGAAATGGACAGAACATGTATTCTGAGCTTTTTAGAGGACATCTGGTTTCTATTACTATAAACGATGACCACTGAATTATAAACAAATAAGAAAATAAGATGGAATTCTCTTTAAATATGACAGTTCAGTTGGCTCTGGGGAATCCTAGGCCTCTTTTTCCCTCCAAAATCTGTTTTCCGTTACTGAATCATACTCACTAATTCTGAGTCAGTGGGCAGGAGAAAAAGCAATCAATAGCAGGACAGTGAGGAGCAGCTCCAGCCCACAGCCGGATCAATAAATCCATCCAAGCCCCAACCCCGCCCCCACTCAGTGCCAGGGCTCTAACGCAGGACCCCTAAACCCATTAGCCTGGCCTCTCAGCCTGCAGGGGCTGCGTGGTCAGAGGAAACGCTGCTTTCACTCCTGAATAAAAAGGTCCGTCTGTGTCGGCTCTAAAGACGGTAACCAAGCAGACGTCCCTGTTCAGTCCATTAAGCAGAAATAAAGGATAAATATGGTAAACAATGTGATCCGACACGGTTTCAAACAAACACAACAGAGCGTGTTTAACACCTGAACAGGCCTTCACCCAAACAGCCGGGGGCCCCACACGACCTTGGCCAAACATTTCACTCGCTCACTCGTTCACTGTGCGTGCACTTCACTTGTTCGGTCGCTTGCTGTGCCCTGTCTGCTTCACTCACTCACTCAGTGTAACCTGCACAGTTCACTGGTTCATTTATGTTCTACGTTGTGCTCCATTTCATTAATTCACTGTTACCTATAAAATAGAGCTGTTCATGCATTCATAATTGCCTACATAGTTTACATGTTGACTCTGCCCTGTATAGTTCACTCATTCACTTATTTACCAAGCGCTATGTAGTTCACACGTTCACCTAATTCACTATTGCATACATAGGTTACTTGTTCAGTCATTCACTATTCCCTACATAGTTCACTTGTTCAATTACTCACTATTGCGTATATAGGTCACTTGTTCAATTACTCACTATTCTCTACATTGTTCACTTGTTCACGTTGTTCACTATTGCCTGCACAGTTCACTCCTTTAATTATTCACTATTGCGTACAAAGGTTACTTGTTCAATAATTCACTATTGCCTACATAGTTCACTTGTTCAAATACTCACTATTGTGTACATAGGTTACTTTTTCAGTTATTCACTATTGCCTACATAGTTCACTTATTCAATTATTCACTATTGCCCTACACAGTTCACTTGTTCAAATACTCACTATTGTGTACATAGGTTACTTGTTCAGTTATTCACTATTGCCTACATAGTTCACTTGTTCAGTTACTCACTATTGCGTACATAGTTCACTTGTTCAGCTATTCACTATTGCCTACATAGTTCACTTATTCAATTATTTACCATTGATTACATAGTTCACTTGTTCAATTATTCACTATTGCCTACATAGTTCACTTGTTCATTTACTCTCATTCACTATGCCCTCAACAAATCACTCATGTATTCACTATGTCCAACATAATTCACTCGTTTACATGCTCTACATAGTTCACTTCACTCATTTACATAATTCACTTGTTTACTCGTTGACTATGCCCTGTATAGTTCACTCAGTCACAATTCCCCATGTCACATAATTCACTCATTCATTTACTCACTTACTATTCCCTGTATAGTTCACATGTTAACTGCCCTGAAATTAATGTTATGCAAGTTTGTGGCTACATAATCTATACATTATATTCTAATATTTTTTTCATTTTTAAGAAATTAACACACATGAATTTAGATGCTGTGTAGAACATTCTGTAAAAATGTTAAATAAATAAATAAAAATCTAGAAAAATGCACAAAACTATAACGTATAGCACAGGTTTTTTAAAAAAATAACAGTTTGTCATACTGTTATCACATAATCAAGTCTAATTCAGGTTTGCTGAGTTAGCATCATGCTAATTGGTGGGGTATAAGCTCCTATTATCTGTTAGCTACATATAGCCTCGTAGCTCCAGTGCTAAAATGAAAGGAGCAAACTTCAGACACCAGACACAGCTGATTCACTACGTTTGGGTGAAATTTTTGGGAGAAATTGTCTAAATTTGATTGGCGCCCTTTGTGACCTTGACCACGGATTTCTTTCCTTCAGACGCTGAGAACGTTGAGAGTGGGGACGCGGTGCTGCGGTTTCAGGACGGCCTCCACGAAGCCCTGCAGGACTATGAGAGTGTCCAGCGTCCCTCCGAGCCCCATCGCGCCGGTCGGCTCCTGATGACCCTCCCCCTGCTCAGACAGACCGCCCAGAGAGCCGTCCAGTGCTTCTGCCGTCTGCACATGGAGGGACGCGTCCCAATGCATAAGCTCTTCCTGGAGATGCTGGACGCCAAGATTTAGGCTGAACCTCAAATGGCTCCCTGCTTCCTATATAGTGTGCTACACAGGACACAACGGTCTTGGTCAATGGTCTGGTACAGCAGTGGTCTTCTACACACAAAAAGTGCACCATATGTATAAAAGGGAGCTGTTTTGGACGCAGCTTTAGAAAGGTCCAGCTAGGCGGCCAGAATTAGGGCAAAGGTCAATGATGCCAAGCCCAGGAAGCTGGCAGTGGAAGTTATCTGAACGTCTGAATTCAAATGTTCGGCTCCCCCTGCAGGCCGCTTACTTGAAAAACATTCAGACAGACTGAAGAACTCTCTATGGAGAAAATCTAATGGGTCTCAGTATGGAGCCCTGGAGTACACCAGCATTAGAATTAACAATACTGTTTAGATTATATTGTATTAGGTTGATGGTGTTGTTCAAACAAATAATAGATACATAATCCACAGTATGGGGTGGGCAATATGATACATTATTGTGATAAATTACATCACAATTTGCTGAGTATATGATGGGTATGTTCTAGAACACAACAACTGCATGGATCAATAAAAAGCACTGATTACAGAGAGCCTGTAGACAACAACCAAAGTGTAGTAACTGCATAGTAACAAGTAGCTGATTTGATGGCAGCCCATTATGACATCACCTCATTTTATTTAACTGTTTGATTTTTTTTTCTCTTTTTCCTTCTTAAAAAAGTGTGTTCCAACTTATCAACCTCAAAGTGATTAAATATTGCAATACATATCATGCATCAGGGAAATGTGTACAATTATTGTGATGTTTTTGTCATATCGCCCACCCTTAACAAACAATACAGTATAAAGTCATTTGCCTGCTCTTATCCACCCATTTCAACTCAGGAAGGGTTCGGAAAACACCAATATATGTTGGACAGGGCGCTCCAGGAGCTGACCTACCACTAAACGGGGTTGTTATTTTTCAAACTGCAACTTGTAATTTGAATAAAAGTGAATTTTATTGTTTTTTTATTTAATGAATTTTCAAATGTGAGATTTATTTGTTGTAGCAGCTATTAAGTTATTTTCTAAGTTATGACTACATATTCTTTTGTTGGAGGCGTTTTTAGGTTATTAATATTAGTGTTAATGTTTGATTCAGGTCAATAATTTTGTTCTCACCAAAAAATAAAAACACTGCTGCAACAGAAACATGTCAAATGACATCATAGTCACGCCACCACTATTCAGCTTCACTATTTATTGTCTTATTTATTAAATATGCTTTGCATTTTGGTTATTTATATGTAAATAAACTATTTTTGCAATTTTTTACTTTTTCTTGCGTCATCATTTCCACAAAAAGCTACACTACTCAGTTATTTAATGAGTTAAAATGTGTCTTATAATGAATGACAGTGAGCTTATGTTCACAATCATTTTCAGTATGTATTATATGATACTCGTGTATATTTTGTGTTTTATGATAATTATATATACTTTAGTAAGCATTTGTCTAAACACAATGAATCAAAATGAAGAAAGCTCAACATTACATTTATATAATTTGCATTGATATATGTGAAAAACAAATCCAACTCCATATCAAATATTCAATATATATTGAAAAAATTATTACAATTTTCAATATTTTCATGGCAGTGATTAAATATCTACAGCAAAACCACATCCCTCTGATACATCTTAATAAAAAGAGAAAAAATAGATGGTAGCAGAAGTATTTACCAGTCAACAGCAGACGTAACAAAGGGGACTTCCACCAACTTTTCAAAATTCCCCCATAATTCAGTGTTTGTGATGTAAACAGAGTGATTCAGAGCGGTTTGGTGTGAAATGGTTCAGATGTCTTTACAGTGGTGGTGATAGGAACCAGGGGTCGCCATGACTACAACACAGATATAGACATTTTATTTACTATCCAAAACCACCAGTGAACCTACACGAGTCTTCTGAGTTTATATGGGATGTTGATGATGGAAAATAGTGGAAAATCTGAAATAATAAGTTTTCTTCTGGGACTATTTTGCCTCACAACACCCTGCATGTATCCCTCCACCATGAATGGAGTTTAAGTTCTCTAAACGATCATAAAACAGTGTCTCAGTCATCAGGCAGTGAATTCATAACCATTTCATGTAGGAACTTTCTGTGAGGGAGCTTTTAGAGGTGGACGTCTGGTTCCTATCACCACCACTGTGAACAGTTCTGACTTTCTAAGTTTATCTAGAATGGAGCGTTTCACACCAAACCACTCTGAACCACTCTGTTTACATCTTAACCATTTAATTATACAGAAACTGGAACGGCCCTCTGAGCTGAATTGTGAATTGTACTGCCTCAGGCTAAAAATACCCAAAACATCAGAAAGTGGGCAGGGCTGGTATTTAACACTGCAACAACAGGTGTTAATCAACAAGAACGTTTCAACTCACAACAAAGCTAGAACACCACCTGCATTTCAGCGTATGAGTCACATTAGGCTCCCAGTTAATGAGCTCAGAGCCGCAGCGCGTCACATCACTGTTACTTATTAATTAAATAACAAAAAAAATCCCTTTTTGAAGTATCGTGATATTGTATTTGTACCTCTACTTTAGGGTATAGTGACTTTCAACACTCTTAATGCTCATCACAGCATCTTCTTGGTATAAAAAGCAGGTTTTAAATAATCTGTCAGTTTTCTTTTCCAAACTATTGTTTAAAAGCTCATACTGAAACTCTTTTGGTTCCAAGGTGGACCTTAGAACCAAAAGACCTGAAAGGTTTGAGTGCTGACATCACACCAAGGGGAGAAAGTGGGTGTGACTTTTGGCTTTATTCAAATATTTCAGTCTTACTTTATTTGGATTGTCTGCTATAGATTCTCTACAGATGTTCAAATTGTTAAACTTTCTGTTGAAACTCAGCTGATTCTAAACAGTGGTGGGGTTGGGGTTAGGATTTGGACCAGGGTTTGGGCTAGGACCTGGGTAAGGGGTTGGGTTTAGGGTTTGGGCTAGGACCTGGGTAAAGGGGTTGGGTTTAGGGTTTAGGGTTTGGGTTAGGACCTGGGTAAGGGGTTGGGTTTAGGGTTTGGGCTAGGACCTGGGTAAAGGGGTTGGGTTTAGGGTTTGGGTTAGGACCAGGGTAAGGGGTTGGGTTTAGGGTTTGGGTTAGGACCAGGGTAAGGGGTTGGGTTTAGGGTTTGGGCTAGGACCTGGGTAAAGGGGTTGGGTTTAGGGTTTGGGCTAGGACCAGGGTAAGGGGTTGGGTTTAGGGTTTGGGCTTGGAGCAGGGTAAGGGGTTGGGTTTAGGGTTTGGGTTAGGACCAGGGTAAGGGGTTGGGTTTAGGGTTTGGGCTAGGACCAGGGTAAGGGGTTGGGTTTAGGGTTTGGGTTGAAGTTAAGGTTAGGGTTAGGATTAGAGCCGGTTTAAAGAGAATTATGGTCTATTTAGTAGATATTTATTTGAATGTAATTTCTATGTGTGCTCTGATTGCTGCAAACTGAAAAGGAAAACAAGCTCATTTGTATTAAAAAGGCTGAACTTCTGCTGGGCAGAGTAACTCCAGATCAGCTCTGACTGGTTCACTGATTGCTGAGTGAGACGTAACTATCAGTGTTATGAAAGCAGCCGCCTGTAAAACAGCAAGACTCCACCTCTCACTGTTACCTGTACAGAGGTAATGCAGGTAATACGGCACACATGCAGTGTATCTAATGCAGGTCAGGAGGAAAAAGCCAAAGCAGCGACGCTGACCAAACCGTCATTTCAAACGGCCTATTTAAAGACCGCAAGCCTGTTACAGAGGAGAGCAGCGGAGCGCAGTGAGAGACGAGGCTGAAGAAGTATCATTTTTATATCCAGTATATTTTATTTTACAAAACAGACTGTTCTGGTCCTAAACAGCCTAAACAACTCCATCATTAATATCACAGGCTTGAATTAAAACACAGTGTGATTCACTGTAAAACTGCAGTAGAAAAGTCTAAAACATGTCACTTGAATGACACACGCTTCAAATGTTCAACCCAGGCTGAGTCCCAAACGGCTCCATACTCCCTAAATAGTGTTCTAGCTAGAAAAGTGTAGAAATTCCAGCCTCTACAGCCAAAAGGTGCATCATTTATCGAGTGTGGATGCGTCTGAATCCCAAATGACTGTTTCTTAGCTGTATTTTGCTCTGTTGGGCTGCAGGATCCAGTATTTAAACTCCTCTGTAGTGCACTATGTAGGGAGCAGGGAGCTGTTTGAGATTCAGCCCCAGTGTGAGAAGAGGGCGCCGCTGGATTGGTGCTAAATAAGACTCGCAGTGGTGATTTGGTGACTAAAAAGTACGTATAAAGTGAAGGTTTTTGTTTTAAACAGTGTTGTGTTTACGACAAAAGTAAAAAAAACACATGGAGGTATGGACCACCAAACCATACTCATTCAGTGGTCCATGGTTGCTTGGCAACGATACCGTACTCTAAAAGAACTACATTTCTTGGCAGAATACTTATGTTGATTATTATTAATAATAACTTTAAATATTTTGTAAAAATTGTGTATTTTATATTTTATGTTGGCTGCCGTTTTAAAGCAATGAGCCACCTGAGGCCGTATGTTACAGTGGTTTTATCACAGGGAAGGGGGTTTTACTCCGCTCCGCCTCGTGCCCTTAGAACTGAGACTCTCCTACCCCAACAGCAATCTATGGGACAGTGGTTACATCTTAATTCTACACAATTCTACAGTTTCACATCAGTCATATCACAAACACTCCAGCTGCATTTCAGCTGCAGCTCAACCAACATAAACACTGAACGTCAGCTCAGCAGCTCAGAAACTGAGCCCAACTCTTAATGAACATGCAGCAAAGAAAGGATGCCAGGAGTCTGGTTCAAGCAAATACGTAGGTTTGAAAGACCAAACACCTGGGGACATTTAAATTATGATTATTTCATATATTCATGTAATATTTCAAGGTTTACTACAAGTGCTTATATTTTACTGCTGAAGTTTTTGTGTATTTTGAATGAACAATGCTCAGTGTGGGTTACAGCACAACATTAATAAAAAATTAAATAAAACCTTTTTTTTCTCTGCCCCACAGATGAGAGTTTAATAATTAGATTTTTTGATACGGCCCTTTAGTGGTTGAGTTTGACACTCCAGCATCATTCAGTCTGATCTGCCGTTTATCCGCCTTTTGACTGAGACTAAAATTCAGGGGCCGGATTCACGAAATTATCTTAAAAAAGAAAATCTTCTTAAATTTGCGTTTGTCTTAAGAAAAAGGTTATGAGAAACTGTTATTCTTCAAATAACGTCTTAAGGATGATGTTACTTCCTTAAGTATTTTATTACTCCAAGAACAAGAAAAAAAACAGACTCACACTCGTCTCAGGCTGAGAAAGTTGACGAGATGAGCTTCTAAATCAATCAGTGCGTATACATGCACTCAATAATCCGATCATAATCAGATTTCTGCAGTTATCAGATTATTCAAATGGTCATGTGAACACCATACTCCGATTTAGAAATCTGATTAAGAGGCTGGATTTTAGCTCAGTAATCAGATTTCTCAGTGCATGTGAACTCTTACTCTGATTTCTTTCGGATTTCTCAGTCTGAGCATGGTGAGATCAGACGGTGGATGTTGCAAGATGCACCAAAACACTTTTGGAGTGGCGCTGAAAGTGTTTGAGTTTGAGTTTTATGTTAAGTTTACGTCGCGTCTTCTTCTGTGAGTTTATTGGCTGGTTGTAAAGCTGAAATCTGATTACTGTCTGACTCATGTAGACCCATTATCTGATTACTCATGTGCATGTAAACGTGTTGATCGGATTACTGCAGTTATCAGATTATTGCGTGTAAACACACTCAAATATCAAACTCGGATGCTGCATCTGCTGCTCCTCGTGCTCGTCTCCTGCTTTCCACCGTCACCCACAATTATCATATTTTCTAAGGAGGATTTTTCCTGTTGACTGTTTCTTCCTCCATCACCTCCAGATTTTGTTTGCTAATTTTTTATACGCTTGATGTTTTTCCTCCATTTGCTCCTCTGAGGGAATCTAATTTAGAACATGAGATGTTCTAAATGAGATCTGCTCCTGATCTCAGGTTCTTCTCCTGGACACAGTTCAGTCCAGTTTAAATCAGAGTGAGACTGAAGCCGTTTTCTCCTGATTCTGAAATTCGGCTCCTGAGAAATAAAACTCAGCTTTTCTCTCTTTGATCAAAATGTTGTCCCACATGTGGATGAACTCTTTAGAGTCTGACTCGTCTCAGCCCAGCCTCAGCTGAGTAATATCTCCATAAGAACACTGTGAGATCTCATCGTTCTCTTATACAGCTCTGTTCTAGATCACAGAACCCTCTCAGCAGTCCGTCAGTGCAGAGGGAGAACTCACGCTTTTCTCCTTCATCACCAGAACGTCTGACAGTGAGACGCTGGTGTTAATCTCCTCTTTTCTCCTGAGGAGGTTCAGGAGGAACAGCTCAGAAATCAGAGATCCTTCATTAATATAATACTGAGATCTGCTTTATTTCTCTGAGACGATCTTAAGAAAGAATTCCTTTCCTCTGGGAAAGAAGATTTTCTTAAGATCATTCTTATAAACTTCTTAGTGTTTGTCTTAATGACCTTCACAAGTTTTCTCTTAATGACTCGTGAATTCGGCCCCTGATGCTCTCGAAGGTTTCTGAGCTGTTATTTCCCTCCAAAACACTTTGATCACAAATCCAGGGCTGTTAAAGGCTTCTATGAAGCTGCATCCATAAACAGTTATAAATACGCTTATAACTCTAACAATGCTTAGTAAGCACACTTATATTTAAGCAGTAGAACACAGAGGGAGTGTGTTGTTGCGAAATAACATCACGGCTGTGATTTGGTCACCGTAGATCATCACAGCCGTGATGTTATTGGCGATAACACACTCCTCGAGTGTTCTATTGCTTTAATACAACAGTTAAATAAATACAGTAATAAATTAATAAACTGGGCCGTGAACGCAGCGTTTAATATGTTTTAATGTTCGCAGTTCCTTCACCAAATTATAGTTCCTTAATGAGCAGCTTGTTGATACGTCAGAGTAACGAGCTCCGCCCACTCGCTGCACAGTTTGCTGTAAGCTTCGCCTTTTGAAGTACAGACTGAGCCATAAAACTGCCGCAATATCAAGTTCAGCTCAGTTTTGTCAGTTTTTCCAGATCAGTATTAATGTTGTTTTGTTCCAGCCGGTCTGTAAAGCATCTTACAGCCCATTTAGTTTGGCGAATGGTGTTGGGTTCATTTCTGGCCGATTCCAGGTTGTTCAGCTGTTCTTCTGTCTCAGCTGCTGACTGAAAAGCTGCTCAGTGGTGATGACAGTTTGGGAATTTAGTGTCGTCTCATCTTCAGAGTCTGACCAAATCGGCTGTCGGTCAAATGTGATCTTAAAAGTGTCCGTTTTCTGTTTGTGGCAAAGTAAGAAGTAAAAACGTTCAAATGTCTTGAGCGTCTCCTACAGCTGTCAAAGTCGTTGCTTAGCAACGGCGTCTCAGTGGAGTGATACAGTGTTTGTGAAAAAACGTGATGTTACGGTGAAATAACAGCACAGTTAGAACGCCTCTCAACCAATCAGCTCGTGTGGCCGAGACTAACTGTTGTATAATTCCCTACAAAACACTTTGATCACAAATCCAGGGCTGTTAAAGGCTTCTATGAAGCGTGCATCCATAAACAGTTATAAATATGCTTATAACTCTAACAATGCTTTGTAAGAACACTTAAAAACTCCAATGATGCATCACAAAGCTGCTACCACTGCTGTCAGAACAAAACCTCGTATCTCCAAAATGGTAACTTTACAGGAGAAGGAAAAAACCTACTCTACTTTTAATGTAAGTCAATGGAACCAGAACTTTTTCCAAGTTATTTTGGGTCGTTTCTTTTGGACCATTCATCATGAAATTTACACACAATGTAAAGAACAACAGACAATTTAAAATGATGTCAAAAACTGAAAAACGAGGTACAAGGTTTTGTTCCAACAGCAGTGAAATACACTATAATGCCGTTTAAACGGATGGTGATCTGAACATGATAAAGCACTAATAATAATTATTAGCAGTTATATCAGCATTTAAAACACTGTCTGTTTATGTTATTCCAGGATCACCTGGGAGAATTTTCTAGATTACAAGTGTCTTATAAGTTATTTATAACAAAGAATAAACTAAAATATCACTTTACTCAAAGCACTCAGTGGCGGCATTTAAAATGATGTTTATAGTAAAGAGTATGATTCTTATAAAGAATAAGACAATGAACTTACATATTTCATATATTAGCCCAAAAAATGTATCAAAATGAAGAAAAGCTGAACATCACACTGATTTTGTTTGCATTGACGTATGAAAAACTCCATATATCAAATATTTAATACACATTGAAAACTATTGTGGTTACAAAATGAACACAATTCTCCAAACTTCCACAGCCGCGGCGCTCAAAACTGAAAGGGATGACATTTCTACAGTAAAGCCGCGTCCCTCAGATTTATCCTAATAAAATTAAAATAACAATGAAATTAATAACAATGAACAACAGAAGTTTGCAAAAGCATTCAGCGCAGTCGACAGTGATGTAAATTAAAGGGGAATCCCACTAATTTTCTAAAATTCCTCCTTAATTCAGTGAGTGATGTAATCAGAGAGATTCAGAGTGTTCAGTGTTTTAAATGTTGTTTATAACGTTTTTATAACTGTTAATATGTAATATAGGCGCTTTATAATTATGCACAGGTCATTATTCATTCAAAAGCCATAGTATATAGTGACGAGCATGAAATGGTTCTATACAGAACTTATGGTTCTAAACAGAACCATTCAATTTACTAAAGAACCATCTGTTTAGGAGTGTAGCTTAGAACACTTCATTCTGCAGTGTATAAATTGCTGCGAATAACAATTATTAATATGAAACATTTGAATGGTTCACCTTTAAAAAGACGGTTCTTCAAGGGTTCTTTGGTAAAGAAAATGGTTCTATGTGGAACGATGAACACTCCAAGAACCATCTGCACGATTAAGGGTTCTGCGCATCATGAAAGGGTTCTACAGATTGATGGGAAACGTGCATGAATGTGCTATAGACGGTTCTATATAGAGGGTTCTATATGGCGCACAAAAGGGTTCCTTACCACTGTCTGTAATTTTCTCTAAGACAAGCCAATTTACATGAAACCACTCTGAATGGCTTTGTTTACATCACAACGCTGGAATTATGCAAAAATTTTGAGATTTTTTCAGATTGGTGGAATTCCCCTTTAATGCAACACCTTTCCTTATTGTGTAACATGATTATGTACGTTATATATCTGTCTTCGCTTTACAGAGCAGTCATTTCTGTAAATACATGCAAGAAGAGCCTGTTAGGCTTTTCTGAGATGATGATTCTGAGATTTAAGTCGAATCGTGGCTGAAATGGAAACGCAAACTCATGGTTTCACTCATGCATCAAATGAGGCAATGAATCCTTCATTACATCATCACACATGCAACGTTAGAGGGATACACTGCAATACTGAGCATCAATCATTCTGAGTCCTGGAAGACATAATTGAAGTTTTTTTAAATGCAGTTTCAATAAAGGTATCCAGATTAAACGCTGCTACTTTCCACTGATGCCCATTAAAAACACTGATAACGTGGCCAACAGTAGTTAATGCTGTTAATGTTTTCTGGACTATTTATGACCACGTCCATCATTCTTCATTTCCAAAGCAGCCAATCAGAAGCTGGGCCTGTTCATAAATAGTTTAGAAAGGATTGGGAGGCGGGGCTTCAACGTAGAACCCGCCTCAGGGCGTGGATTTACTCATCCTGACAATCATCCAGTGATAATGTTAATCAGAAGTAGACCTAAATTATATGCAGTTCAGGGTGGGGGTGTGGGCGGAGCTTCACTCCAGGCCCTGCCTTGGGGGTGTGGCTTCACGAATCACGGACCAATAATCATCCAGTAACAATGTCAATCATGCTGCAGTACTTGTAAAGCGGGCAATCAGAAGCTAGTCTCGTTCATGTATAGTTTATAGCTGAGGAGAGGCGGAGCTTCCCCCACCTCAGGGCGTGGCTTTGCTATCCAGTGATTGACAATCATCCAGTGACAATATTCATCATGATGCAGCACTTCCAGAGCAGCCAATCAGAGGCAGGTCCTCGTTCATATGTTGCTTAGGGGCTGGTGGGTGGAGAGGAGGCGGGGCTTTGGGGTATAGATCCTGCCCCTAGGGTGTGGCTTAATCAGCCACTGACACTAATCTAGAGACAATGCTGCACTGCTTTCAAAGCAGCCAATCAGAAGCTGATCTTATTTATATGTAGTTTAGGACTGATAGGGAGGCGGAGCTTCCCCCTCCTCAGGGCGTGGCTTCACTAACCAGTGACTTGACAATCATCCAGTGACAACGTCTATCATGTTGCAGCACCACCACAGCAGCCAATCAAAAGCTCGTTCATATTTGACTTAGGGCTGGTGAGTGGCGTGCAGGCGGGGCTTTTGAGCTTTGGCCCTGCCCCTGGGGCGTGGCTTAGTCAGTCACAGACAGTAATCCACAAACAATGTCAAAAATGCTGGACTGCTTTATAAGCAACCAAACAGAAGCTCTTTTATCTGTGGTTCAAAGCAGGAAGGGAGCGGGTTTTTTTTTGCTGCAGACCCCGCCTCTTGGGCGTGGCTTCATTATTCAATCACTGACCATGCTCCACAGATATATGTAAATCATGCAGCACAACTTCCAAAGCAGCCAATCAGAAGCTTGCCTCAATAATATACAAGTCAAGGCTTGTGGAGAGGTGGAGCTTTTGTACAGGCACCACCTCCAGGGCGTGGCTTCATTAATCAGTAATTAACACACTGACACTCATCCACAGATGATGCTAATCATTCAGCAGTAACTCACAGCAGCTAATTAGAAGCTGGTCTCAGGTACATGTGGTTTAGGGCTGGTTGGTAGGCGGAGCTTTGGTGTAGGCCCCGCCTCTTGGCTTCGCTAATCGGTCACTGACAATCATTACAGATAATGTAAATCATTCAGCAGTGCTTCAAAGCAGCCAATCCAAAGCTGGTCTTGTTTATTTGCAGTTTAGGGTTGGGGAGCCGGGATAGGCTGATTTAGGCCCCGCCCACTGTGCGCCGACTCCACTAACTCGTCACTTGATGCCAATCGTGCTGCAGCATTTCCAAAGCAGCCAATCAGAAGCTGGTCTCGTTCATATGTGGCTTAGGGCTGGTGGGTGGTGGGGAGGCGGGGCTTTCAGGTTTAGGTCCCGCCTCAGGAGGTGTGACTTCATTAACTGGTGACGTCGGGCCTCGCCTCGGAGACACTGGCATTTGCGACCGCACAGGACTGACCGGCGAGGGGGCGGGGCTTGGCACTGCAGGTCTTCTAGCTGATGATGATGCTGATAAAGATGCTGATGTGTGCGCTCTGAAGCCCAAACGTGCCTCCAGCTCACTACACACAGCTAAGCTCCGCCTACCTCCCTCTGCACCTGCCAAGTCTGAGTTTTTGGCTCTCTCCTGGCAGCGCTCCACGAAGCTGCCTCTGCGGAGAGCGTCTCGCTCTTTGTCCCGCTCCTGGACGGCCCTGCCCGGGTGTGGACTCCCGCTGCCGCTGGCGCTGCTGGCCAGGGAGCACTGGCTGAGGCCCAGGTGAGGCGGCAGGTCCCGCGGCCTGCCGAAAGGAAGAAAAGGGACCTGACGGGGAAGACTTCCTGTGTGGGGGATCGCAGGGCGAGCAGAACTCACACCACCACGGCTGCTCTCACTCAGCTGGGACTGCAGACTGGAGTCGCAGAGAAACACAGAGAGAAACGTGATAAATAATCAGTAACATAGTAGGAAGAATGGCAAAAAATCATATGAACCATTCTACAAAATTAGTACAACAGTGAGAAACAAACAAACATAAAAAATAAATAAACAATAAAGTATTCAGATCTTAGATATTTACAAGGATTATGTTCCGATGTATTGAACTGAAGGCACTAATAGAGATAGTTATAGTCCATATGTATACAAAATCATCATTTATAGGGCACTTATTGTACTCTAACCTCTAAATTTACACTTGTATATTATAATATTACTTGCAATTTTTTTGTTTGATTTCTTTTAAAATTATGGAAAAATTACGGAAATATTTAGATTTGAGGTTTCATTTTTAAATAAAAAAAAAAAATTGCAAAACTGCTGCCCCATGTTTTCATGTCACTACTGAAACGCAAAGTTGTAGTCTGTGGGCGGGGTCTTGTTCTAGCCACGCCCCTGCATTTTAGAGAAGGAAGTGACACTGAATCCCTGTCCCTCATGGCCACATGGTGAGCAGTTAGATTCCACTGTATTTTCTGCAATTAACTGTATTTTAATAAAAATGTTATGATGTTTTGTGTACAGATGATCAAAGCTGTGTTTGCTAGTAGTAATTTTCACCACCGAAACAGTCACTATTAAAATATTTGGTAACACCCCTCCCCGCCTTATATGTTAAACTCAGCAAATAAGCAGTAACAGTGCATTAAACATGCAGAGGTGTTCAGTGTTCAGTGCTGTGAATTCACATTGCTGTAACACGCAGCGCTCAGCAGCCCGATCCTCCCTCTCGGCTCTGTGCTCACTGTTAAACGCTGGTTTAGCGTTATGTGAGTGTTTACCTGCAGGTGGAGTTGCGGGTGGAGTGCGTCAGCGAAGCAGCTGGACTCATGTCTGGTGTTCTGGTCAATGCCAAGTCACACTGATCCAACAGCTCCAACAACTCCTCTTCTGTAGGACCTCCCAGAGCTACCACACATACATACATATACACATTAGTCCAAAAAATCTATAACTCTGTTATAAATGTTTTACATTTTTAAAACATTTTATTTTGGTAAAAACTATGTTCTGCATCACAAATCACACTCAGCATGAATAAAAGTTGGATTATATTTATTAGATGCTTTAGAAAAACTTTTTTTATTATTATTTATTATTATACTTCGGTAAACATCACCATCGTTCACGCTGTCTAAGTATTGCAGTGTTTTTTCTGGCTTGGTTGAAGCGACGAGCCGCAAGACCCCACCGCTGAGGGATACAGCTGACCGACAGAGGTGGGGATAGTGGGCGCACAGGCACGGGTAGCGGGCTGCTATGCTGAAGGCTAAATCCAGGCTAAGGCTATCATTACGTGGAGAGTCCGGCAGCTCCTTCCATTCCCTCAGTAACATTAACTCACTGTGAGTGACCACACAGGGGCAGACGAATGGTACTGAAAGAAGCGGCTCAGCCGTTCATGTAAGCAGCTCTGTTAGTGTGTTTTTCACACCAAACGCTACCGTTACAGATTCTGCCATGACCATATTGGTATCGGCGCAACACTAAAATTTTGGGCAGGTCTTAACTGCTGAATGCTGAACAGGCAGGGTTAAACGGCTGTAGGCCTAGTGGGCGGGGCCAAACTACTTTAGACGTAATGGGTGGAGTTAAACGGCAATGTCTGTAAAAATATTTTTTTGTAAAATTTCATTTGTAAAACATAGTTACGGTTGTGAATCACGATCACGCTGACGGTTCTGACAGCTTGGATCCCATATAGGGCTTTCTGGACTGGGGACCTTTGAAATTTAACAGTGTTTACACAGTATCAGAAAATTCAGTTTTCCATGTTTTCGGCCTTTTATAACAGTTGCCCCTCACCTTTGATGTCCACTTTCCCAGCAATCTCCATCGCCGTGGTGAGGTCCCACATCTGGATGCTGCCGTTGCCATGGCCACTGAAGAGGTATCTGCGCGGCCGGGAGCCGATGCGGCTGGACCCCTCACACTCGTGGACCACGAACGCAGTGATGGAGGTGCCGTCCACCGAGCGCACCTCACATACCCTGCCAGCAGAGGGGGAGAGGGTCCGGGTATATTAGATATGTGCCCTCCAGGACGTTTGGGACGAAGGCATATTATTTTAATTTACCTCTGTACTCCATTTTAAATCAAAGTGAAGTGTACTGGAATACATTTTAGTTTTACAGTGCAGAAATTATAGCGTTTTCCATACCTACGCAACCCACCCCATTTCAAGGCACCATAATGACTGGGCCAATGTGCTTATGATGACTCAGGTGTGTTTAATTGCTTCGCTAGTGCAGATACTAGAGAGTTTTCAGCGTCTAGTCCTGATTCTAGGCTTTTGGTCAGCTTTGGAGACGCTTTATGGAGGGCACTGTGCTTGTGAATGTATTTTGAACGTGTGAACATGTTTTACCTACTTAAACTGAACTGAAAGCAGGACAGGAAGCTGTAATAGGTCAGTGTGGAATCTGCTGAGTGAACGTGTCTCACCTCTTGCCGTTGGAGGAGAGTCGCACGTAGAGTTTATCTGTGTCAGGAACCACACGCTGGATAAACACCTGCTGCTCATCACGCTCTCCGTAAGGACCTGAGAGAGACACGGAAATGAATGCATTTTAAAAACGTATTTAAATGTGCTCATAAATATATATAAATTGGACACTTATAAATAAAGTAAAATGCATATGAAAACGGAAATATATAAATGCATATAGAATAACAACGTGTATTAATATATTTAAAAACATATAAAATTGGACATGTCTAAATGTGTATGAATTGGATATGTGCAAAAACTAAATCTTATTGCAAATTACATATTGTATCGTGAAATTTGTGTATCGTTGCAACCCAACTTGACAACTCTACACAGTTTGAGTCGAGTGTGTGATGATTTACACATCTAATTAGCACCATAATAACTGGTAAGCTACATTACTTCTTAGCTACATTGAGTTCACAGCTTCAGGGCCAAAACTGGTAGTGGTGGGGTGTGGGTGGTGGTGGGGTGTGGGTGGGGTGGGTGGGTGGGGTGGTGGGAGTGTGGGTGGTGGGGTGTGGGTGGTGGTGGGAGTGTGGGTGGTGGTGGGGGGTTAAATTGGTATGTCAGTTTTTTCATCAAACTTTCACTTTGAGGTTCTGCAAGAGAACCTGGTACACACAGCCGTTTCCATGGAAATGCGCCGTATTCCAGCCTGCTTACCGATCTCAGTGCCAGCAGCGCAGCCTCCGTGTCCGTCGATGTCGTCCAGCGAGAGGATCTTGAAGGAGGTGAGGGGGGTGGAGCCGGGCTGGGTGGAGATCATGCCTCGGAAACGCGTGACGGTCCAGGTGCGGACGTGGTTGTTGTCTGCACACACTGCACACCCAAAATAGAGTCAACCCAATGAGCCCTCGCGTCACCTACGGGCCCGTGTTTTATAAATACCACACCGGCGTCAGAACAAGTGTAGCAGATTTAATGACGAGATACACTTTGAGTTTCCGATGAGCGTGCGAGCTTCAAACAAACATGCAGGAGTTTGTGAGTCATTAGTCTGACGCATGTAAATAAATGCATGTGTACCCTGTCTGTCAAAAGTTTGGGGACACCTTGCTTTCCTGTGATTTTTTACTGTTGATATTAAATTAAAGGAATGGTTTCCAAATTTGTTACCATATCACAATAAGACTACCCTTATACACGATCATGAATGGTCTGAAATGAGTTTATTATGAATTACCATTTTAAAAACCATTAATAAACATAAATAAAAGGGCAACAGTGGCTGGTTCTATCAGATAAATATGAATATCTGACAGGTTTAATGCTGACCGATGGAGAAAACAAAGATCAGCAACCAGCAAAATCTGAGCTTTAATAGTGCAGATGAATGTGGGCTCAATATCTGGCAAGGAACAGGTCACTGTCCTTTTCATTTATTTGTTATAATTGCTTATAAGGTCTATTAAGGTTTTTTTTTTAATCAAACGCATCTATTTAGATTATTTTAATTTACAGCAGTTAATGCAGCAGGAACAATACGAGAGCAAATGAGACTCTGTAAGAGTCGGACTTTAAAACAGGCGGATTTTACTGACAGTACAGCGCTGATGTGCTGCAAGAAGAAAAGGAAAGTAAGCTTGATTGATGAATTCCCTTCTTTTTTGCAGCTGTTTGTTTCAGACCTGAATATGGGTGGAGTGTTCACACACGTGAAAACGGGCCGAACTAAAGAAAATGTCCGATATGTCCGCACCAAACAAGGCAGGTGTGAAAGCGCCCTGAGAAACTTCGCCATCTCTGGCTCTCTAACTGTCTGGATGACGCAGCCGATGACGTTTATTTAGTCTACTGCAACATTTTTATTAGTACGTTTGTACGTTATAATTTGAAAACATTTGATTCTTTGATTCTTAATCCTTTTTCCACTTCGATTTTTACAACTTAAAGTGACGTTACTGGCCCACGACAAACTACTGCCTCAACAGAGTACAGACCCGCAGTCCACTACAGGGTGATTCACGGCCCACTGGTTAACAAACCCTGGTCTTACGTGTCTGCCCACAGCGTTCAGCTACAGTTCTGTTCATCACGTGCAGAGTAAGTCATACTGTGTCCTAAACCACATTTACAAGTCTGGACCCCCTTAATGAAGACCTGGATGCAGTTGGAGTGGGTTGAGGGAAGTTTTGGGGATGTACTCACAGGACACTAAACACATCTTGGCTGATTGACATTTATGATAAGAGTAAAACTGTAAAACAGATTTTTTGCCAAACTATTAATTTACACAATGTTTAATTAGTGTAAGACAGGCAGCTATGTACCATTATGTAATATATATAAAATGTTATATATATAAATATAAAGCGTTTCTAGACCACTTGTTGTACGGGGAACAGCCGTACCCCTCCGCTTACCAATCAGTCATAGGGGCACAACTGTGCATCTGGTGAAAGGCCTATAAGACACTAAATAGATTAAGTCATGTAACACTTAATAAGTCATGTAACACTAAAGCCATCGATGAGAAATAAACAACAAATTAACACTACAGAAATTTGTATTAATTCTAATGAATTTCAGTAATCTTTCTGATGCTCTTTCTCTTTCCCTCCATGTTGTACTGTCTCTCCTTCTTCTTCTCCCTCCTGCGCCGCGCTCTGACTGCTCTCTCACTTCAGGAGTAAAAGTTTATTTATTGTCTTAAATGTTTACATTTCATTTTAATATTACTGTCACACATGCATGTGAAACTACACGTCAGTTCATAATAGCTGGACAACACAGGCTTGCGAAATAGTTTACTGTTATACTGGTTATACTGGTTATATCATGATGCTTATTTTGCAAGCCTGTTATCAATGCCCCTTTTACTAGCTAGCATAAATAAAGCCTTTGCTAACGCAACTGATGCCTTTTATTATGCCTCGAAAAGACCGAAATGCACTAGGTGACCCCAAGCTTTCAATGTGGAAAGGAAAAAAAACGTACAAATGAGCTACTGCACCTGAGATGAGGTGTTTCTCTGACAGCATGATTTTAGTAACAGGGCTGCGGTGGACAGAGAAGGTCTGGAAGAGCTGGGGTCCGGAGCCCACCGTCTCTGGGTGCTGCACAATCACGCGCACTGTACCCGAACTGGTGCCGTATGCTATCTCAATCCAGTTCCCACTGTCACCTGTCACACACACACACACACACACACACACACACACACACACACACACACACAAAATCTATCAGCATGTCCACACTCAGAACACAGGAAGTCACTTCCTGACATGTCTGATAATCAGGCTGCTTCTGTGAGCTCCGTCATATCAGGTTTGATTATTTGATGTTACAGACCGCACAAACGAATTCATTTATCTTTGATATTTCATTACAGGAAACATAATCCAAACAACAATGCAAAGATCTGTACAATCAAACTACAGTCATAAACGTACATGGGGCTACCAGGCAAGATTGTGGTGTGTTAGTGTGTGTTGTGCTGGTACGAGCGGATCAGACACAGCAGTGCTGCTGGAGTTTTTAAACACTGTGGGGGTCCTGACCACTGAAGAACAGGGTAACAAAGTATGCAGAGAAATAGACGGACTACAGTCTGTAACTGTAGAACTACAAGTGAAACTATATGGTCAGTAGAGCTGATAAAGTGGACAGTGAGTGAGGTTTTAATGTTAGAGCTGATCGGCGTACGTGTGAGGAATTATTATGCAGGACTGCTTTAGTACTGGTGTGTGTGGGTTTTTTTAATAGCACTGCTACAGTACTGTGTGTGAGAGGTCAGTGTGTGACTGGCGTGTGCGTTTCGTACTTGTTTTGGGTGTGAGGTAGACGCTGAGGGCCGTGATGGCGTCCTCGCTCGGATCTCTGTACAGTTCCGTCACCAGCAGATCGTTATCCTTCATTCGCAGTGGAAACTTCTGCACGTCTGCAAACGCACATAACCACACATATACACATAAACCCTCACACACAACCTCACAAATACACATCCACCAGCATTTAACTGGGTTTACTGCAGCGCAGTGAGTGAAATGTTCAATACAGGCCACAGTGTTCATAGGTTTTGATGGTATTTTTACAATGTGGCACCACTTGGTCTGTTCTAACTTATCAGATATCAGATGTAAAAATGTGACCAGTGGTGAACAGGGTATAGAGGGGCTGATAAACTGTACAGCAACAGATGGACTTCAGTCTGTAACTCTACACCTATAAAGTGGGTGTTTCCAATAAAATGGCCAGTGAGTGTGAGTACAAGGTAGGAGCTTCTTATAAAGTGGCCACTCAGTGCTGCAGCAGTACTGACCTATGTAATAAATAGATCCATTGTTGCAGCCGAGGATGAGGAAGGAGCCGGCGGTGTCGTAGCTGTTAATGGGAACCACATCCTGATTCTGCAGAGAGAGCAGGAAGACTTTATTAAACAAAATAAAGATATTATGAACGTCTATTTTGAACCTAAATCAGATCAGTTAAAGACTGTGATTTACTGTTACTGGTGTGTCCGTCAGTAAACAACAGAACAGACAGGCAGACAGATAGACAGACAGACAGATAAGCGTCCTTGGGTTTGAAAGGCGCAACATAAATTGAACTTATTACAGCTAGATAGAGAAACAGACAGACAGACAGGCAGATAGGCAGGCAGACGGAGAGACAGGCAGACAGAGAGATAGGCAGGCAGATGGAGAGACAGACAGACAGAGAGATAGGCAGGCAGACAGACAGATGAACAGATGGATAGATAGATAAATAGATAGACAGATTGATAGATAGATAGATAGATAGATAGATAGATAGATAGATAGAGGAAAGACAGATGGACAGACACGAACAGAGACAGAGATAGGCAGACAGATCAATTACCAATTGACCGACAGACAGACAGAGAGACAGACGGATGGACGAACGGATGGACAGACAGAAAGAGAGATAGACAGGCGCGGATAAGGACACAGACAGACGGACAGGCAAACAGAAAAACAGACAGGCAGACAGAGAGACAGGGAAACAGATAGACAGATGAATAGATAGATAGATAGATAGATAGATAGACAGATAGACAGACAGTTAGACAGATAGAGGAACAGACAGACAGACAAACAGAAAGACAGACGGACAGACACGAACAGAGATAGGCAGACAGACCAACTGACCGACAGACAGACAGACAGACAGGCGTGGATAAAGACACAGACAGACGGACAGACGGACAGGCAAACAGAAAAACAGACAGACAGAGAGACAGGCAGGCAGAGAGAAAGGCAGACAGACAGACAGACAGACAGACAAGTAAACAGATAGATAGATAGATAGATAGATAGATAGATAGAGGAACAGACAGACAGACAAACAGAAAGACAGACGGACAGACACGAACAGAGACAGAGATAGGCAGACAGACCAGCTGACCGACAGACCGACAGACAGACAGAGAGACAGACAGGCGTGGATAAAGACACAGACACACAGACAGACAGAGACAGACAGGCAGACATACCGATCAACCGACAGACAGACAGAAAGACAGACCTAGAGCTGGGCGATATGGCAAAATGTAATACCACAATACTTCAGGAAGTTTTTACAAAAAATGTCACAATATTTATTTTTCTGACATCTGATCATTTAGAACCCACAAAACAGCACCACATGTTTAAAATACCTTCAAAATCCATAAATTTGATGATTTATATTCCACATTTCACACACTGTACCGCACTAAATCCAATTAACCAGGACTAATTAAGCTCTCTTTAATCAAACAGAGTTGGGAAGTGATTTTTAGTGCTGATGATGTACAGAATATACTCCATAACATATATAAGATACATCCTGTCATACTGCCCAGCTCCAGATAGACCAACCGGCCGTTAGACAGACAGCAACACAGACAGACTGAGGAGTAATTTGGGCGCTACAGTTGCAGAAACACTCACCTGTGTACACATAATAAACAGACATAAATACACACAGTGCACTTATTTACACACAGCACAGACACGATACATCAAAGGGGAGAAGGCATGTTTTGTGATGTGTGTAAACAGAGGACAGAGTGAATAATACATAAGTAAGCGTTATGTGACAGAGCACACTTAGACGACAATAAAAGCCTCTAACATTCCTTAATTAGTCATAATAATAACAAGTACATCATGTAACACTGTTCACATCCAGTGGTTATCAGTTCGTTTGGTTTTCAACTAAAATGCTGCCAAACTGGCACCACTTCTGGACGAGCTCGTCCACTTTACTCTCTACTGGAGAGCAGATCTCAGGTACCGAGTCTCATTTGCTGTCTCATTGGCTGTCTCTTAATTAGTCCTGGTTAATTGGATTTAGTGCGGTACAGTGTGTGAAATGTGGAATATAAATCATCAAATTTATGGATTTTGAAGGTATTTTAAACATGTGGTGCTATTTTGTTGGTTCTAAATGATCAGATGTCAGAAAAATAAATATTGTGACATTTTTTGTAAAAACTTCCTGAAGTATTGTGGTATTACATTTTGCCATATCGCCCAGCTCTAGGTCTGTCTTTCTGTCTGTCTGTCGGTCGGTCGATCGGTATGTCTGCCTGTCTGTCTCTGTCTGTGTGTCTGTGTCTTTATCCACGCCTGTCTGTCTCTCTGTCAGTCTGTCGGTCTGTCGGTCAGTTGGTCTGTCTGCCTATCTCTGTCTCTGTTCGTGTCTGTCCGTCTGTCTTTCTGTTTGTCTGTCCGTCTGTTCCTCTATCCATCTATCTATCTATCTATCTATCTATCTATCTGTTTACTTGTCTGTCTCTCTGCCTGCCTGTCTCTCTGTCTGTCCGTACAGCAGAGTCTCTCGCTGGCTTCAAACGCAGACTGAAGACACATCTGTTTATACAGCATTTAAATGAGCACTGAATTAAGTATTGATTGTAATGTATTGTACTGCACTTATGTACTGTATTGTATTGTATTGTATTGTGTTGTATTGTATTGTGTTGTGTTGTGTTGTATTGTATTGTGTTGTATTGTATTGTATTGTATTGTGTTGTATTGTATTGTATTGTGTTGTGTTGTGTTGTGTTGTGTTGTATTGTGTTGTGTTGTGTTGTATTGTGTTGTGTTGTATTGTATTGTATTGTGTTGTGTTGTGTTGTGTTGTATTGCATTGCTCTGTGTTTAACTCTGTTCCTTTTTCTCTAGGTGTCTATAATGACCTTCTGATTCTAGCAGTATCTGAGCTCAGGACTGTCTTTCTCTCTAACCTATTGGTAGCTAGCAAAGATACTTTCTCTGGATAGACAAAGCACTTTTTGTAAGTCGCTCTGGATAAGAGCGTCTGCTGAATGCTGTAAATGTAAATTTGCATACTCCCATCCACGTATCATAGATTAGAATGACTACAAAGTGAATGAATAAATAAAAATGAACGAATGATAATTAGCATAACAGACGCTTATTAAAATATTGCGATGTTTGGTAATATCAACTAGTGCCACACAGCTGATACACAGTATATTGCTGCTGTCAGGACAAAACCTCACATCTCCATTTTTGTCGTTTTTCATTTTTTGACATAATTTGAAAAAGGCAGTTGTCCTTTATGTTGTGTTAACATTTTATGATGAACAGACCAACAGAAATGCTCCAAAATTAATAAAATAAAATTAATAATAAAATGTTTCTCCATTGACTTCTGTTAAAAGTTAAGAATGTTTTTCCTTGTCCTGTAAAGTTCCGAGAGCAGTGATATGTTTTTTATTATACAGTATTTTTTCCTGATTGGCCTTTTTTTTGACATCTTTACTAATAAAAATTTGTGTGGTTTATATACCAAAAACAGTCATAATCCATCTGTACATCATTTTCCAACCTATGTCTATCTGTTACAATTAAACAGACTGTTTTTGTTCATGTGCCTTTATGACTGACATATGTAAATGAGCTCTGCTCCAATTGGCTGCTTTGTATCATGGCTCATTCAATAAGATATCCAGGCTGAAACACTCCACATAACTTCAGTGTGAGTGGGCGGGGCTAAAATGCTGAAGGCTGAATAGGCAGATGTGTGTAAATGTGTTGGTTTTCATGACATCAGAGAAACAACAGGTTGTTTTTGCAGCCTAGCTGCCTTATATCAGGGGTCAAACTCAACCACTAAAGGGGACACATTAAAAACTCTCAGCAAATCTGTGGGCCAGAGAAAAAAAAATATTTCATTTTTAAACAATATTGTGCTACAAAACTGACCACTGTTTATTCAAAATACACAGAAATGTCAGTAGTAAAATACAGGCACTTGTAGTAGAGCTTGAAATATTAAACAGACACTTAAAATATTCAATATTTAAATGTCCCCAGAAGCTCAGTCCTTTAAACCTACCTATGTATTTGAACAAGACACCCAACATCTTTTCTTTGCTGCAAGTTCATTCAGACTTTGGCTCAGTTTCTGAGCTGATATTAAGTGTTTATGTTGGTTGAACTGCAGCTGAAATGCAGTTAGTGAGTTTGGTGATATGACTGATGTGAAATTGTGCAGAATTATGTGGAACTGAGGTGTAACCACTGTCCCATAGACTGCTGTTGGAGTACGAGAGTCGGGAGTGCGCATAACGTTGCAGTGCATGCTGGGGACTGTAGTGCAGCACACTGTGAAACGGGCTAATATTAATAGAAAATTAAAACACTTTTGAAAGCCAGAGAGGACTGTCTTGTGTTTGACACATGGGCCTTATATGGTCTGAGGAGTGACTAACAATGTTTACACACTAAAACAGAGTCAAACTTAATTAAAAAAAATCTATACATTTTGTTTTTCCATGATTTGGGTCCTTTAAGTATGTGCTATTTATTCTGAGCTGAAGAAAGCGAGTAAACTGACCTGCCAGTGTTTGGTCACAGCGTTCCACACCCCCACTTTCCCCGTGTGGCTGGTGGCAATCAGCTGATTCCCCACGAAGAACAGAGCCTCTACAGGAACGTTGAGGCTGAACACACCTGCAGCACGCAGAGAGGAGGGGGTGGGGATTAGGGTTATCCTCGGAGCTCGTCTATCAGCACTGTTTAGAGTACAGACTGTACAGAGTGGACTGCACACTCAGCAGCAGCTATTACGGCACTGTGTGGTCTACAGAACAGCTTTACCGATAAACAGGTCAACTTAAAAACCACGGCCTTCATTCACATTTCCTGTCTTATTTTTGTTATAATCCTTGACATTAAAGTTAATTCTACCATTAAATATCAGTGTTATTTTTAGCATCTTGGAATAAAAGATATGAAGCATGTGACTGAGGCACGAAATTTATAATGACAAACACAACACACATCACGCCTACAGGAGCCTCTATGAGTCCCATTCTAAATCCATAGGCATTAATATGGAGTCGGTCCCCCTTTGCAGCTCTAACAGCTTCCACTCTCCTGGGAAGCTTCTACAAGATGTTGGAGAGTCTGTGGGAATTTCTGCCCCTTCATCCAGAAGAGCATCTGTGAGGTCAGACACTGATGTTGGACGAGAGGGTCTGGCTCACAATCTCCGTTCTAGTTCATCCCAAAGGTGTGTGATGGGGTTGAGGTCAGGGCTCTGTGAGGGTCAGTCAAGTTCTTCCACACCAAACTCACCCAGTCAGGCCTTTATGGAGCTGCTTTGTGCACTGGGGCTCAGTCATGCTGGAACAGGAAAGGTTCTTCCCCAAACTGTTCCCATAAAGTTGGAAGCATAGAATTGTCCAGAATGTCTTGGTGCTGAAGCATTAAGATTTCCCTTCACTGGAACTAAGGGTTCTAGATCAACCCCTGAAAAACAGCCCCATATCATCATCCCTCCTCCACCAAACTCTACAGCTGGCACAGTGCAGTCAGGCAGGTAACGTTCTCCTGGCACTCGCCAAACCCAGACTCGTCCATCAGACTAACAGATAGGGAAGCTGATTGGTCACCCCACAGAATATGTTTCCACTGCTCCAGAGTCCAGTGGCGGCGCTTTACTCCACTCCATCCGACGCTTTGCATTGCGCTTAGTGATCTTAGGTTTGTGTGCTGCTGGGCCATGGAAACCTATTTCATGAAGCTCCTAATGCTCAGTTCTTTTGCTGATGTTGCTTCTAGAGGCAATTCAGAACTCAGTGATGATTCAACAGAGGATAGGCACTCTGCGCTTCAGCACTCGGTTGTCCCACCCTGTGAGTTTGAGTGGTCTACAACTTCATGGCTGAGCTGTTGTTGCTCCATTTCACAATAACAGCACTTACAGTGGTCTGGGGCAGATCTAGCAGGGCAGAAAATTCACACACTGACTTGTGGCAGAGGCGGCATCCCATAACAGTGCCATGTTTAAAGTCACTGAGATCTTCAGCGCGACCCTCTACTGCCAGGGTTGGTCTATCAAGTCTGCACGGCTGTGTGCTTGATTTTATACACGTTAGTAATGGGTCTGACTGAAACACCTGAACTCAGTACAAAGGAGGGGTGTCCCAATACTTCTGTCCATATAGTATATAAACACACCGACATGAGAGATCTGAAGGGGAATAAAATCACTGAGCACCTTTTAACCCCTTAAAATCCCAGGCTTATTACATGCTAGGACTTATTATTCAGTAATTACAGGGACTTCAGTGCAAACTGGCTGAGCTATTCTTAGGTTATAGAAGTGTGTAATGAAACTTTGGGTTTGCCTGTGGGCCCTGACCATTTAAGGAGTGAAGAGAAAATTACCCCCGTTACGACTCTGGGTGGTAATATTCCTTTCCCGTGTACAGTTAATGCCGTCCGAATACGGCTTGTGTGTAAAAATGTTAACTGACAGCACCTGAAGAACTTAAAACCAATAATTACCGATCTCATTGCCGTTGCCGTCAGGACAGATAGCCCATAATATTATCTCGGTTCCTGATGCCACAGCAACCATCTTGTCGTTGTCTCCCAGAGACCCACCCATGACCTTGGCATTGAGTGCCACCCTGTCGATGAGCCAGTCCAGCCTGGGACTCGTAAACACCTGCTGCCAGCCTGTCGACTCCTTCACCCTGAAATACAGAGAGAAGGACTTTAAATCAGACATATCGCCCCCTAACCTTCCTGTAGTGTATTACAGTCTGTCAGAGTGACTGTGTGGATCATATGAACATTATAGAGCTTTTTAAATGAAACAGTAGAAGCCATATCGCCCCCTACACTTCCTGTAGTGTATTACAGTCTGTCAGAGTGACTGTGTGGATCATATGAACACTATAGAGCTTTTTAAATGAAACAGTAGAAGCCATATCGCCCCCTACACTTCCTGTAGTGTATTACAGTCTGTCAGAGTGACTGTGTGGATCATATGAACATTAAAATCCTTTTTAATCAAATTTACAGCTGTAAACGCTGATGATAAAAATTTGGACTATTATATCTGTGCTTACTGTGAATAGCTACAAACATTTCTGAACTGATTTTATGCATCCAGTCATTAACAGGCCGATAGCCTACATTCCCACATATCCCCCAGTTTCTAGTATTTTATTTTCCTTTGTGACATTTGCTGTAAAGGTTAAACATGGTCTGAATTCATTTCTACATGACCAATTTTCAACCTCTCAACTGCTGCAGACTGAGCAGGTGGATATATCTGAATGTGCTGGCCATTGTGACATAGAAACATACATCAAAACTGTGAAAGTTCAGTTTCCCACGATGTGGGAGCAGAGCTCTGGTTATTAGCAGTACAGAACCATTAGGACGACACTAACCTGTAACAGACCACAAACTGAGCGTAGGCCACAGCAATCCAGTTGTGGTGTCCACATATGATCCGAACCATTCCAGGATCTGCACCGTGACCTGAAATAAGAAAAAAAAAGATAGTACAGAATATTTAGCAGCCAGAAGAAGGATATGGACAACATATGTTTTGTAAAAAAAAAAAAGAATGTATACATATAATTATGATATGTTATTTATCCTTTAAATAGCTCTTGTTCCCAGAATTCTTGAAATTTTGAACAAAACATCTAAAAATGATTCTGGTGAACATTTTGTAATATTTAAACTTTGTAACATATAAAATAAAAACTGTCAAATAATTCTAAGCTTTTGAATGTTAAAGGAGGTTTTGATCTGACAGCAACAATACAGTAGAAGGGAATATTTGAGAGACATAATCTGGTACCTGTCACTCTCTCCTCTGTAGCAGTTTTACCCAGAATGCCCGCGTTGCCCAGGTTGGGTGGCATGGTGTTACTGCGTCTGACGGGCGCTCTCTCTAACGGCCCAGCTCGACCACCCATAAACTGAGGCCCCGCCACGCTGTGTCTGTTCCTGCGCTTCACTGGGTAAACTAAAACACACACAGGAAAACCTTATTCAAACACAAACCAGTTTACTTATTACTGGAAACAGAACAAGAAAACAAAAATAAATCTGTCCCCATTTTTGAGACATCAATAATCAAAATTAGACCCGTTTAAAGCAGCGATACTCAAAGTGTTTGTCTCGGGGTAGGGCCGGGTGATATTGCAAAAAAGTAAAATCTCGATTATTTTCAAATTTATTAACAGTTCTCAATTTCAATTTTTTTTTTCCTCTTGCATAATGCCTGCAGTGCTGCTGGAGTTTTTAAACACTGTGTCCACTCACTGTCCACTCTATTAGACACGCCTACCTTGTCAGTCCACCTGTAACTGTAGAACTACAGAGTGAAACTATACGGTCAGTGGAGCTGAAAAAGTGGACAGTGAGTGTAGAAACAAGGAGGTGAAGCTGCTGCTCGGTGTATATAAGTGATTCTGATCTTTTGAACAGCAGTGTACAGAATGTCTACGTGTAGACAGTGAACTCCTGTACAGAGTGACCGCTCACCTGGAGGGGGCAGGTAGCCATTAAACAGCACTGTGCCGCATGACGATCGGTCTAATTCATCACACAGCTGCAGCTTACGCACTGACGAGAAAACACAAACAAACACACACACAAACTCGTAAACACTCAGGACTTTCAGTACAGAATCCAATCAACTGAGCAGAAATTTCAAGATTATATATACAGGATTGGCAACTGCATAGTTTCTGGCTTTTGAAAATGATAATATTGGTGCCAATTTTAAAGTTAATATTTGGAGTAATTAAGATATGGAGTAAGATATAAAGTAAGTAATTAAGTAAGTGGAGTAAGTAAGTTCCGGCCATGCAAGCTGATTGGTTGAGAGGCGTTCTAACTGTGCTGTTATTTCACCATAACATCACAGGTTTTTCACAAACACTGTATCACTCCGCTGAGACGCTGTTGCTAAGCAACGACTTTGACAGCTGTAGGAGACGCTCAAGACGTTTGAACGTTTTACTTCTTACTTTGCCACAAACAGAAAACGGATACTTTTAAGATCACATTTGACCGACAGCCGATTTGGTCAGACTCTGAAGATGAAACGACACTAAATTCCCAAACGGTCATCACCACTGAGCAGCTTTTCAGTCGGCAGCTGAGACAGAAGAACAGCTGAACAACCTGGAATCAGCCAGAAATGAACCCAACACCATTCGCCAACTAAATGGGCTGTAAGATGCTTTACAGACTGGCTGGAACAAAACAACATTAATACTGATCTGGAAAAAACTGACAAAACTGAGCTGAACTTGATATTGCGGCAGTTTTATGGCTCAGTCTGATTTGGTCAGACTCTGAAGATCAGACTACACGTTTGGCGAATGGTGTTGGGTTCATTTCTGGCTGATTCCAGGTTGTTTAGCTGTTCTTCTGTCTCAGCTGCCGACTGAAAAGCTGCTCAGTGGTGATGACAGTTTGGGAATTTAGTGTAAGGAGCTGGAGAACGAACTGCCGGCTGTGCAGTGAGTGGGCGGAGCTCGTTACTCTGACGTAGCAACAAGCTGCTCGTTAAGGAACTATAATTTGGTGAAGGAACTGCGAACATTAAAACATATTAAACGCCGCGTTCACGGCCCAGTTTATTAATTTATTACTGTATTTATTTAACTGTTGTATTAAAGCAATAGAACACTCGAGGAGTGTGTTATCACCAATAACATCACGGCTGTGATGATCTACGGTGACCAAATCACAGCTGTGATGATATTTCACGACAACACACTCCCTCTGTGTTCTACTGCTTAAATGTAGTTAAACTTCAAAGTATACAGTGAGAAACTGTTATGCTGTGAAGTAGACGGGTTATTTGTAGTTTGGACTCCACAGTGACCTTGTTTAACGTGTTTCGTTGTGTCTGCTGTGTACAAATGCAGCGCAGGTTAGTTCAGACTGAAGCAATATTAGGGACGACAGACTGGAACCGGATGCTCCAAATGTGATCTGTGTTGCAGTTTTACGATATAAATAAGGTGAGGCAGGTCATGCTGTGTTTGAATGCTGCTGCTACACCTGAATCAAAGTGGAATATGGTCATATTTTGTCGCTTTATAATTATGCCTACATGTGTAAATATTGTGCTTTCTAATAATGTTTTAAGATCAGAAGACAGTCTAAATTCAGACTCTGGCAACAGCATAAGCTATAAACAAGAGAAGTTTTTATTATTTTATTCAAATTCTGTATACCACACTGGGTCTAAAACGAGGCTGTAACTAGAGCAAAATAGTAGTAAAAATGAAAATGAATAAGGATGAAAGACGAGTGATGTATTATTAATATGCTTCTGGATAATGCTACAGCAAAATAAACAGTGATTATAATTCCAGTGTAAACTTTTCAGTGCAATAATAAAGCTGTAAATCTAAACATTCAAAGAAAAGGTGAGCTTAACCCTCAAAACTTTGCTGAGCAACTCATGAAGCTTAAAAACTGCAGATGTGTTTGTTATTCGCCAGCATAAATCACGCTGTTCGTCTTGTTAGCTGACGCTTAATTTGAAGATTTTCAAAATAAAGCACCCTCATTAAACATATCGGGAGTCCTAACGAGCGGGAGTAACTGAAGACAACTAAATTGGGGAGAAATAAATAAATAAATAAATAAATAAACTGGCTGTGCTGCTGTGCGTCAGAATAAAAGCCCCATGCAGGAACTTTCCCGTGTACAGTATCAGACGCGTCTGGCTGATATCCGATTTGTGTAATAAGATCAGTATCGGTGCTGTGCAACACTGCTGTAAACTCACTCTAACTTTCTAACCAGTCTTACCTAACGGAGTGATTCCATAGAACTCAGCTTCATGCATCAATAAATGCACATCGATAGACCTGCAACAGTGCAGACACATTTATTACAGTCATTAAATATTTAACAAGCAGATTCTCACCTCAGATCGCAACACTCATCCTCAGCATCATTAAAACTACGTCTACAAGCATAACTGTGTAAAAACGTCTGATCAGGTAAACATTCAGGAGATGAATCAATAGGAAGACATTAAAAATGTTTTTCTTTTAACCTAGTGTTTATAAAAAGTGCTACAGAAATATAATTCATTATTATTTACATTTTTTTACAGTACAGAAAAGACAATAATAGGTACTGGTTACTTTGAACACTGACATGAAAGCATGTAGACTACAAAGACCAAAGTACTGGGACAAACTTCCTAACTGCCACACTCATTTATAACAGGTGGATCAAATTAAGCACACAGCCTTGCAGTCCTGACAGACAAACACTGCAGTAGAATGGGTCGTACTGATGAGCTCAGTGGAGTAAAGCGCCGCCGCTGGACTCCGGATCAGTGGAAACGTGTTCTGTGGAGTGACCAATCACGCTTCTCTATCTGTCAGTCTGATGGACGAGTCTGGGTTTGGCGAGTTCCAGGAGAACGTTAGCTGCCTGACTGCACTGTGCCAGCTGTAGAGTTTGGTGGAGGAGGGATGATGATATGGGGCTGTTTTTCAGGGATTGATCTAGAACCTTTAGTTCCAGTGAAGGGAAATCTTAATGCTTCAGCACCAAGACATTTTGGACAATTGTACACTTCCAACTTTGTGGAACAGTTTGGGGAAGAACCTTTCCTGTTCCAGCATGGCTGAGCCCCAGTGCACAAAGCAGCTCCATAAAGGCCTGACTGGGTGAGTTTGGTGTGGAAGAACTTGACTGACCCTCACAGAGCCCTGACCTCAACCTCTTCAAACACCTTTGGGATGAACTAGAACAGAGACTGTGAGCCAGACCCTCTCGCCCAACATCAGTGTCTGACCTCTCAAATGCTCTTCTGGATGAATGGGCAAAGATTCCCAGAAGAGTGGAAGCTGTTAGAGCTGCAAAGGGGGACCAACTCCATATTAATGCCTATGGATTTAGAATGGGATTCATAGAGGCTCCTGTAAGGGTAAGGTGTAGGTGTCCCAATACTTTTGTCCATATAGTGTTTAAGCACATTATGCCTCTGTATGATTATGACATATTGTCGCTATCGGTACAAAACCTCTACTTTACAGGAGAAGTAAAAAACCTTCTTAACTTTGAATGGGAGTTAATGGAACCAGACGTTTTTCCAAGTAGTTTTGAATCATTTCTATAGGTTTGGTCATCATGAAATGGTAATACAATGAAAAGAGCAGCTGGTACTTTCATATTCTGTCAAAATATGAAAAATGAGCAGGAATAGGTAACAATATATGTCCAGTTAGTTACCTGGGATGCAGTTCTTTAGTGCGCAGAAAGTTCAGAATGGGGGCAAACAGAGAAGGATCTCGATCTATGAAGATCTAAAAGCAGAAATACAGCAGGAAAATTACAATAACAACACTGAGTTAAAAATACAGGTGCAATGAAAACGAAACCAACGTTCTAGATATGAGAAAAGAGGAAATGAAACACTCTCACCGCTCCTGTTTCATCTTTTAACGTGGATATCCGTCCACTCAAGAGACTAAACAAAAAAGGAAATGTTAAAATGTCAGTTTTTAGGCACATTAAACAAATTATGTCTGCAGAAGTTACTTAAAAGTGTTCAGGATCAGCAGAACAACAAGTAATAACTTCACATACCAGTACAGTTTAATAGACTCCAGACTTGTAGTCTTTTCATTCAGCCCCCCCTAGTGGTGAGAGACCAGCATCTACATTTACACATACTTAAACTAGATGGTGCTTCTGCTACTAAAGAACCTTTTACTTTAGTAAAGAAAATGGTTCTGTATAGAACCACGAACACTCAAAGAACTTTGCATGATTAAAGGGTTCTCTGCACCATTAAAGGGTTCTTCAGATTGATGGAGAATGTGCTGTAGGTGATTCTATATAGAACCCTTTTGAAAAGGGTTCTATTTTGCACCAAAAAAGGTTCTGCTATTGTTGCGATGTCAGGCTTGTAACAATAGAAGAACCCTTTTTGGTGCTATATTGAACCCTTTTCGAACAGGTTCTATACAGAACTGTCTACAGCACGTTCATGCACGTTCTCCATCAATCTGAAGAACCCTCTCACCATACAAAGAAGCCTTTGATCATGCAAAGTGTTCTTTGAGTATTCATGGTTCTATATAGAACAATTTTCTTTACTAAAGAACCACTGAAGTATCATCTTTTTAAGAATTTAGTTCAAGACAAAAAAAAATCTGCTTTCAGTTATTTAGACATTTTCATTTAAAAACTATAATCCTCAACCCCCTAGCGACCACCTGGGATACCATAGCACCTCACACTGCCCAGCAACCAGCTGGGATACCATAGCAACCCCCTAGGAACCACCTGGGATACCACAGCACCCCCCCGCAGCAACCACCTGGGATACCATAGCACCCCACCCCTAGCGACCACCTGGCATACCATAGCACCCCCCTAGGAACCACCTGGGATACCATAGTCCCCCACCCCTAGCAACCACCTGGGATACCATAGCACCCCCCAAGTGACCGCCTGGGATACCACAGCACCTCCCTAGGAACCACCTGGGATATCATAGCTCCCACCCCTAGGAACCACCTGGGATACCATAGCACCCCGCCCCCAAGTGACCGCCTGGGATACCACAGCACCTCCCTAGCGACCACCTGGGATACCATAGCAACCCACTAGTAACCACCTGGGATTCCATAGCAACCCCGTAGCAAGTGCCTGGGATACCAAAGCAACCCCGTAGCAAGCACCTGGGATACCAAAGCAACCCACCTGGCGACCACCTGGGATACTATAGCAACCCTCTAGTTACCACCTGAGATACCAAAGTAACCCCCTAGCAACCACCTGGCATACCATAGCAACAGCCTAGAAACATGTCAGTAACCACTGGAGAGATCATAGAAACCTCACAGCATTTAAGAACAGATGCAGTGACGACATTCAGAGATCAGGTAAGTTAATAAGAAGAGTAAAGTGAAGAACGTAAAGAACCACGTTTCCCTGAGTGAAGAGGTTAATGATTAGAAAAGCACCAACCTTGAGAAAAAGGAGTCTGGAACCCATGTCAGAGTCTGCTTGGAGGTGCTGAACCTGAGGAGTTGATTGATGAGATGAGATTAATGTGATTTATAGCTCTTTAGGGTGGACTGGTCCTGCTAGAGAAACTACACACTTAAAAAAGATGGTTCTTTAAAGAAAATGGTTCCGTCTAGAACACTCAAAGAACGCTTTGCATGATTAAAGGGCTCTTTCCATGGTGAAACCGTTCTTCAGATTGATGGAGAACGTGTCGGCTCTGTATAGGTTCTGTATAAAAAGGGTTTTTCTAATGTATGCAAGCTTGACATCGTAAAACAGCAGAACCCTTTCTGGCAGCTATATAGAACCTTTTTCAAAAAGGTTCTATATAGAATTATCTACAGCACATTCTCCATCAATCTAAAGAACCCTTTAATCATGCAATGGGTTCTTTGAGTGCTCACGGTTTATTACAGAACCATTTCTTTACTAAAGAACCCTTGTTAAACCATCTTTTTCAAGAGTGTAGAACCCTTTTTGGTGCCGTATAGAACCATATACAACACATTCTCCATCAATGTGAAGAACCATTTCACCATGCAAAGAACAATTTAAGCATGAAATGTTCTACATAGAATTCATGGTTCTAAACAGAACCATTCCCTTTACTAAAGAACCCTTGAAGAACCATCTTTTTAAAGAGTGTACAGCTCCATTTTTCCTGATGCTAATATTATTATTATATAATTACCATCTGGGCTTGTTTCTATTATTACTTCATTTATTAACAACGATAACTTCACAGACGGCTGTTATTAAGGTAACCATAAAAAACAATTTAAATTAATTTACTTGTGAAGGAAAATGAAATAATAATAATTTGCATCTCATCATTTATTTAAATGAACATGAAATTCTTTAATATAAATTAGCGGCTCAACAGAAAAATAATGAAAACACCACATAAATTAATAGGCCTTATAATTGTTCACCTACTATAGATCTTCTACATATATTTTTCGCTGCATTATTACAAATGTTTTGCACAACAAAAAAAAAATCATCTTAATCTGAAAGTTTACATTCAATCAGGGTTTGAAGGGGTATTTCACTGAATTTTCAAAATTCCTGCATAATTAAGTGGTTAAGATGTAAACAGAGTCATTCAGAGCGGTTTGGTGTGAAACGCTCCGTTTTAGAGACACTTACAGAGTCAGATCTGTTCACAGTGGTGGATTTTTTTTTACCATATTTTACCATACAATCCTTCTGGACGTCCTCACCAACGCTGGAATCACTGAGTGTGTACGCATGCACTCAATAATCCGATCACAATCGGATTTCTGCAGTTACCCGATTATTCAAACGGTCATGTAAACACCGTACTCCGATTTAGAAAACTGATAAAGAAATCTGATAAAGAGGCTGGATTTTAGCTCAGTAGTCAGATTTTTCAGTCTGAGCATGTGTGAGATCAGACACGAGATGCAGCAAAACACTTTGGAGTGGAGCTATTCAACTCTGAATGACAGATACAAACACAGAACTATAGAGGGATTTTGAAAGTTTGGTGGAATTCTCCTTTAATCTGGGAACCCGGTGTTCTGACGAACTGCGCTGCCTTGTCAAAACGTCCTACCAGACCGCATATTTTTAGGTAGCACTCTACATAAAACTGTAGGTAGGATATTTTGATGGCCTGAATGACCCGGTCAGAAAATGCTGCCAGCACTGAAATCTATAGGCAGGATAATTTGACACCTTAATAGAAGACGGTGCCAGCGTTAAAAGAATAACTAGGATATTTTGATCATCTAAATCAGGGAATAAGTGCTAATATTAAGCAGAATCTGTACTGAACTGACACAGAAAACACAATAAAACGTTAATTTACTAGGCTATAGTAACTATATGCGCATGCCCAGTAGGACCACTCGATGGATAGGACAATTTATTAGAACACCGGCAGTTCTGATTGTTATCGATTAATCGTATCGCAGTAGCAGCTTAAAAATATCGACAATACCGACAAATATCGAATCAAAACGGACCTGAGACTCGCATTTCTGCGCACAGTGGGTCTGATAATCATCTTTAGGAGCAGACTGCGCGTTTTAAAGTGGTTAAAGGGTAAAAAGGCCGGTTAAGGAGTGAAAACAGTCTGACAGACAGGAAAACAGAGGGATGGCGGTGAAGAAGGTGTGAACTCGCCTTTTTCCTCCGACGTTCAAATGAATAATTTCTCCAGCCGCTCGCGCCATCCCGGCCTTCGGGTCAGATGTTCATGTTCAAGCAGCGGCTCTGATTAAAACCAGGCTTTAAATGTAAATTTAATAAATACGAACAAAATCAGGACATAAACACAGACAGGACCAGCACACAGCCCTCACTTCGGTCTTCCGGTTTCAGGCGAGGCTTCCGCTTGCCGCTGGGTCCAACAGCGTCCCCGAGCGGCCGTGGGGTGGAACTGTAGCCAAAGAAACTGCAGAGAGGAGAGCCAGATGACTGCAAAACACCAGAGGGCGCCCGCGAGCGAGTCCTCAATGAACAGAGGTGAAAGTAAAAATAGTTTAAATAGTTTCTAAAAATTTGCCCAAACGTCCCTTTAATTGTAGACAGTAGAAAAATGTCATTAAAATCACTAAAATTCACTAAAATAAATTAAATGTCCTTTTTCTACAGGGAGGTTCACTCGAAAGAGGCCCCGAATATTCTGTAATAACTCTCGCTAGGACGAAGCAATCTGAACGAAACAACGCGCGATGAGCTCCTCGGTGTGTGGGAGCGTCGAACTAGTCGCGATGCTCCTGCCTCGGAGCGATGAGGGAGGCGCCCACAGATATACAGACCTAGATGCCGCGTTGGGTCCAGCCAGGCACGTCAACGGCACCGCCATTTTAGGGGCGGTCAACATCGCTGCTGGACTGCATTCAGTACCATTACAGAGCGGCAGTTTAAGAAAGATACTGTCCGAAATTACACTATTTCAGGAATATCACACTCAGAAAGAGGGATAGGATTATATAACGGAGGGAACGCAGTGATCCACACTCATGTCTGTGTGATGTTTGTGTAGATATGGCCGTGTGGTTAATGAAGCTCAGAGAACCTGTTGATGTGATTGTTTTTCCTCTGGTTTTATATTAAGCTCATTTCATTTAATAGTCTATTCAGGATCTTAACTTTATGTAGTAGTTATTTATTTACAGTGATGGTTAAAGCTTTGTAGCTCAGTAAATTATAGCATTAATCCGGGTAGATATTCATAATAGATTAGCGTTAGACCTTCTTACACGAAGCTGTTGTTCTTATTTTCCAGCCTCTTGTTCGAATTTTCCCGTTCCACCTTAAATGGTGCAGCTTCAGGCACAAGAATGTAACTGCTGCACCATTTAAGGTGGAACGGGAAAATTCGAACAAGAAGCTGGTAAATAGGAAGCCAACATCGTCCTTCTTACTGTGTTTTGGGGGTTTATTTTATTTCTGTGTATTAAGATTAGAAGTGATTCACACATTGATGGATTTGCTGATGCGTCTGATTGTGTTTCTACCGGAGCGCTAAACTCGTTTTTTATCGTCAGGTGCAGACTGAATACTTTCCTGCTGGTCCGGGCGACTAATTAGCACAATCAGTTATTAAAGTAATAAAAGCTACAGAGAGCGACATGCTGAATTGCCCCTAGGTGTGAGTGTGTGTGACTGTGTATGTCTGTCTGCCCTGCGATGGACTGGCGACCTGTCCAGGGTGTATCCTGCCTTCCGCCCAATGACAGCTGGGACAGGCTCCAACACCCCACCGCGACCCAGAAGGATAAGCGGTTTAGATGATGTATGTATGTATGTATAAGCTACAGAGAGCAGCTCGAGCAGCCTGGATTAATCTGCGTCTGTTATAGGACTTCAAAAATGGTGCCTCATGTACGTCAGTGAGCACAGCCAATGAGCTGCTCTGCTCACCAACCAATCAGCACTCAGTAGCAGTAATGCTAACCAATCAGCACTCACTCACTAGTACTGCTTTTTCAGTAAAATATATGTCCTCCAGCAGTACTGCTGTGTCTGATCCACTCAGACCAGCACAACACACACTAACACACCACCACCATGTCAGTGTTACTGCAGTGCTGAGAATGACCCACCACCCAAATAGTACCTGCTCTGTGAGGGTCCATGGGGGTCCTGACCACTGAAGAACAGGGTAAAAGGGGGCTAACAAAGTATCAGAGAAACAGATGGACTACAGTCTGTAACTGTAGAACTACAAAGTGCACCTATATAGTAAGTGGAGCTGATAAAATGGACAATGAGCGTAGAAACAAGGAGGTGGTCAGAATGTTGTGCCTGACCGGTGTATCTGCCTATGCATTTAGAGGTTCCCAGAGTTGTTAAATGACGGCTGCGAATACTGTGACCGGAACCCAGGGGAAGTGAGATCAGGATGGGGATGTGAGATTGGGCACCACACCTGCAGCCACTAAATAAAAACACTTCAAGGCTGCATCCTCTCCTGACTGAGCTCCTGATCTGTAAGCCATGTGGATCGACACGCTAGTCAGTTCTGCCAGTGGATTCAAAGAGTAACAGTCATGCTACTGGGACAGAAATAATCAAGGAAGGCAGACAGGAAAGGACGTTTCATTCAACGATTCGGAAACAGTCCAAGATCATTTATCAAAGCACATGCGCTCCTAAAAAACATGGTTCTTCAAGGGTTCCTTAGTAAAGACTGTTTCTACAAAGAACCATGAACACTCAAAGAACTATTTGCATGCCTAAATGAGTGCTGATTGGTCAGCATTACTGCTACTGAGAGCTGATTGTTTAGCATTACTGCTACTGAGAGCTGATTGGTTAGCATTACTGCTACTGAGTGCTGATTGGTTAGCATTACTGCTACTGAGTGCTGATTGGTTAGCATTCCTGCTGCTGAGTGCTGGTTGGTTAGCATTACTGCTACTGAGTGCTGATTGGTTAGCATTACTGCTACTGAAAGCTGATTGGTTAGCATTACTGCTACTGAGAGCTGATTGGTTTGCATTACTGCTACTGAGTGCTGATTGGTTAGCATTACTGCTGCTGAGTGCTGATTGGTCAGCATTCCTGCTGCTGAGTGCTGGTTGGTTAGCATTACTGCTACTGAGTGCTGATTGGTCAGCATTGCTGCTACTGAAAGCTGATTGGTTAGCATTACTGCTACTGAGAGCTGATTGGTTAGCATTACTGCTACTGAGTTCTGATTGGTTAGCATTACTGCTACTGAGTGCTGATTGGTTAGCATTACTGCTACTGAGCGCTGATTGGTTGGCATTACTGCTACTGAGAGCTGATTGGTTAGCATTACTGCTACTGAGCGCTGATTGGTTAGCATTGCCGCTACTGAGAGCTGGTTGGTTAGCATTACTGCTACTGAGAGCTGATTGGTTAGCGTTACTGCTACTGAGAGCTGATTGGTTAGCGTTACCACTACTGAGAGCTGATTGGTTAGTATTACCGCTACTGAGAGCTGATTGGTTAGCATTACCGCTACTGAGAGCTGGTTGGTTAGCATTACTGCTACTGAGCGCTCATGGATTAATTTTTCAATTATGTGATAGAAAATGTCACTCTAGGCCTTCTGGAAGTTCTAGATACATCACTGACTGAATATAAGCGGCAGCTAAATCAATGGGCTGCAGATCGTCTGTCTGACGCTCAGAAGGTGTTTGATGGTGTCTGAAGATAAACAGAAATAATAAAAACAGGGCTTCTGACGGATCACAGGTTGTATTTATGAAGGCGATAACTGCACAGTGTTTGTATGATTTATACATGATTCTCTCATTCAGGACTTGTACACTGACTGTAAAGGGGCGGAGTTAAACTCATGCACTGCAGGAGCAGCAAAGCACCAGCGGAAAAGTCACGCACCCTCACATCACTTCCACTCAGCTTCCTCTGCACTTATCTGTACAAATCTGCTCCCTCGTTTGTGCGTCAAACTGCAGGTCGTTTTCAGTTCACAGCAAAGACGTTTTCTATACACAAAATACACCGATCAGGCATAACATTCTGACCACCCCCTTGTTTCTACGCTCATTGTCCATTTTATCAGCTCCACTTACTATATAGGTGCACTTTGTAGTTCTACAGTTACAGACTGTAGTCCATCTGTTTCTCTGATACTTTGTTAGCCCCCTTTTACCCTGTTCTTCAGTGGTCAGGACCCCCATGGACCCTCACAGAGCAGGTACAATTTGGGTGGTGGGTCATTCTCAGCACTGCAGTAACACTGACGTGGTGGTGGTGTAGTGACGTAGTGTGTGTTGCGCTGGTCTGAGTGGATCAGACACAGCAGTGCTGCTGGAGTTTTTAAACACCTCAGTTTCACTGCTGGACTGAGAATAGTCCACCAACCAAAAATATCCAGCCAACAGCGTCCTGTGGGCAGCGTCCTGTGACCACTGATGTAGGACTAGAGGTTGACCAACACAAACTGTGCAGCAGCAGATGAGCTATCGTCTCTGACTTTACATCTACAAGGTGGACCGACACGGTAGGAGTGTCTAATAGAGTGGACAGTGAGTGGACACAGTGTTTAAAAACTCCAGCAGCAGTGCTGTGTATGATCCACTCAGACCAGCACAACACACACTAACACACCACCACCACGTCAGTGTTTTACATTAATGCACATAAAACATTTCTGAACAATAAACATATAAACTGTGTGATACAGTGTCCCTACATTACATCATCATGTACCAAGACCAAGTGATAGAAACGCTTCTCTGATTATATTTACATTTAAATAGTGTCCTACACTCTTAAAAAGACGGTTCCTCAAGGGTTCTTTAGTAAAGAAGACGGTTCTATGTAGAACCACAAACACTCAAAAAACCCTTTGCATGATTAAACGGTTCTTGTATCATGAAAGGGTTCTTCAGAATTCAGAGAATTTGCTGTAGATGGTTCTATACAGAATCTTTTTGGAAATGGTTCCCAAAAGGGTTCTTCTATTGTTATGGTGTCAAGATTTTAATGATAGAAGAACACTTTTGGGTCCTATATAGAACCTTCTAATAGAAAAACCATCCATAGCACAAACACAGTCCTGGTCAGCCGGTTTTGGAGGATGTATGGCATCATAAAAACCCTCTTAAACATCACATCAATACAAAATCCACTGGCTGTCAAATCTGGGGACACTCAGCAGCTTTTAAAAATATTTTAAAGGACTCATATTATGAATAACTGAGTTTTTATCCCCTTTTTTAAAATAACAGTTTGATGCAGTATGTAAATATAGTTGCAGATTCACTCCCCACTCCCCACTATGAACTGTCCATACAGTTCATACAGTCCATATATGGAAACTAAGCTGCAAAAACAGCCTGTTTAGAATTCACTGTTTCTGTGACATCACA